GGGGCCGCTCCGCGCTGCGGGAATGCTGACAGGCGCGGGCCACCGGTGGCTCCCTGCAGCCCACTGGGGCACAGAGGGGGCTGTGGGTGCCCCGACCTGCCCGGAGGGAGCCCGGGGAGCCTTCCCGGCTGCGGGAGAGCGCCCGGCACCCCCAGGGCTCCCGGTCGGTAAGGGCTGATGGAGTCGTGGAAAATGGGGCTGTCGCTGCAGGTGAGTCCCTAGTTACCTGCCTTCGAACCTGCAGGTTTTGAGTTCAGAGAACCCGGACTTCCCCGAGCTGATGTCACAGACCAACAGTGAGGAACAGAGAATCTCTGCAGGTCTCTATGACAAATTTTGGCACATCCTGGTATAGCGGGCAATGATCTGAGTAAGCAAGCAGTGGTAGAACTTGCTCCTGGGCCACACAAAAAATCAGTAGCAGAACAGTCCTTTGGCTTCCAGCTCCATGCGTGGTTGTGAGGCTTAAGACTTCCTCCGTGGGGGATGGCACACGGGTGCCAGGTAGAGCACAGGCACCATGATCGCCTGTGACTCTGCCAATTAGTAACTGAAGCTTTGGTGTCTCTCACATAATTTATTTGGTGATAACTGATTTAATTGCACTGTGAAATATTAACTGTGAAGGTTTGTTTTACAAAACGCATAGGATGCCTGCTGTGGCTTTGTCTTGATATCCTTCCAAATGAGTGAGAGTGGTCTTAAAATTTACTGTGGTATGCAGCTCTGGCCCTGAGTGTAGGGCTTTGGGTAAGCTGCCAGCTGAGAACAAATATACTGTAAATAAATAATAGTGTTAATGATCATAGCATCATAGAATTCTAAACAACCTCAAATTTAAAATTACTGACCTAAGAGTGATGTTGTCACTGGCTGTGATGCCAGAGAAACAAACATGACACTCATCTTGAGAAGAGCTTCAGACATACTCCAGGAATCTACAGATCAGTCAGTTTGAGTTCTGTGCCAAGAAAATTGTCTGCTATTCTAATAAAACCCCAGCATTTTTAGAGAGAAGAATGAACAGGATAAATGGGCAGAGAAAAAGGAGTCCCAGGAACACACAGAAAAGGGATGTGATTACTGTGTCACGCGGTCTGTATAGAGCTGTCTGAGACTAGTGCTTTCCCTTCCCTGTGCTTTTTCCTAACATGAATTTTGTTAGTTCTGCACTTCTGCCTTTTGCAGAGGTTTTAAAGGTAACGTTTGTGTGTGGTTCAATACTGGAACCTTGAAGAAGACAGCTCAGACAAGAACTTGTCTTATCCTTTCGTTGGTACTGGGAGCAGGCTAAACGGGACCAATGGTTGCTTTGCTGGAGTGTTCCTGGCCATCCCCGAGGCACTGGCCCATGCCAGCATTTATAGCCACAGGAATTCCAGGGCTGGAACACAATTCCAGGGCTGCAGCACGGCACAGCCAGACCCTGGTGGGCCTGCTTGCATTCTTTCCAATGATTTAATGGGTGTTGGTTTAGGCCAAACACTTTTCCTTATTTCCTCTAATAACCTTTCAAACTCTGAACTTAATTCAATATTTTTGGGGGCCAGCCTGTTCATAATTTAAATGTGAAAATGCATTTCTGAGACTTTGGTGATACAGAAATTGCCACATCACTGTGTTCAGATGGGAGCTGCATTTTAACTAGTTATGTGGTCCAGCATATCTTAGGTGGTAGGAAGTAAATTAAAAGGAGTTGGATTGAGTTTCTCCTCTGCCTCAACATGCAGTTGCCAAGTGATACCATAAATGAATACTTAGCAAAACTGATGGGATCTGGTGGTTTCAAATGCAAACTTTTGATTAAAGAGGTAACATAGAACAGTTGCTGTCCTACCAATGTTTAACCAACAGGCATAAAGGGGTAACCTACATTATTTGTTTAAAATTTAATTTGTTGTTGGCAGCTACCTTTGAGGTTATTGTGAAACCCCATGTAAAATTCCTGTAAATCCATGATCTCTTTATTAAAAAAATTTCTCCTTTCTTTCCTTGAATATGTTTTTGTATGTGGCAGATAAGCCTAGCAATAGACATATAACTGAGTTATCCAGCTGAAAGGGACGTAACAGAGGCACAGTGCATTTAAATCTACAGCCAGAGAAAACGAAGGAGTTCAGTCTCTTGTGTAACTTGAGCCCAGAGGTCAAGCTGAACATATTATGTGACATGTACCTGAGTGTGTAAACTGTACAAATGTGAAAGGATTTAGAGTATTACAAACTGCATCCTAGTGTCACTAACTTCTCTATTTGTCCTGTTTTCCAGAGGGTGAAGTAAGATATTCTTGTGCTAAAAATAGCTGAAAAATATAATTGCTAATTATGAATGATTCAGTTTTTGTGTTCAGCTTTCATATCTGAGGTTGAGTTTTTTGAAACTTTGGTAACTGTGATGATTGTAGTGAGGCCCAGGTCCAGGTTGCCCAGAGAAGCTGTGGCTGCCCATCCCTGGGAGTGCTCAGGTCAAGCTGGATGGGGCTTGGAGCAACGTGGGCTAGTGGAAGGTGTCCCTGCCACCAGCAGGGCCCCTGGCAGAGTGGCTGGGGAGCTGTGTGTGTGCAGCTGGGCTCCAGCTCCAGGCACACTGCTGTCCTGCCCATGATCAGGAGCTGCTGGTGGAGGAGGCTGTCAGGGCTTGCCTGGTGGTGCCGTGCCGTGTTGGTGGCAGTGCTGTTCCACACTCAGCTCTTGGCCTTAGGTACCAGTCATGTGTTTCTGATAGGAATTTCCAGGAGGCCACAAGATCTTGCTTTTACATAATCTGATGGGCATTTACCTGACCAAATCCAGGATGATTTACTAAGGCAGCATTTCCTGTAGCAAACTATTGGGTAGCTCTGTTTAACTTAGACTGCAATAATTTGTCAGTCAAGGGGATTATAAATATCTCCACTTTTTTTATTGCAGACTTCTTGAAACCTATAACAGTCTTACAGACAAACACCTGGTTGGATATTTCAGCAATGCCAGGATAAGACGACATCTTCAGAAATCTGGACTGGTGAGACTGAAAAGTTTCCCTCAATTCTACATTCAATTCAAAATGTTTTTATGCATTTGTTCCCATATTTCCTTTTGCTCATTTGAATTTCCCTCTGCAAAGTATTTCAGTTTGCAGATATACAGCATCATATTGATTCACTCATGGTTTTTACACTGTGAAATTTAAGCATCTTTGACTTGTTTGGATAGTTTCAGTGCTATTTTTTCAGAGGTGTTTAATGGAAAACTGAAGGATTTAGTAAAGGTGAATATACTGAACATTTTGTTAAAAACCATGGTGCTCTCCTAGGTGTGACTCTTTTGCACAGGCAGGTGCAATAGGACAGCAAGTGTTTAATCCTTTCCACCCCTTTGGGCAGTGCCCTGTGAAGGGTAAGGCTGAGCCCTAGGTTATTAGAAATGTGGCTGCTGCTCCTTCCATTTGGCTGCTGGAATTTGTGAGGTCAAAGATAATACAGTGCTGGAAGGTTCCAGCACCATGGCAGGGACAGAGGTGGAAAAAAAACAGGAGGAAGTGATCTTCTGGGAAATTGTACTGTTTGAAAACATACTTTATTTCATCTTCTCCTTTTCGGTAACATTACATTTGTGTATGGCAGATCTCAAGGAGTGGAAGAATAATACCTGAGAAGGAATACCGTCTCAATGCTATGAGAAGGGACCACCAGACATACGTCCGGGAGTGCTTGGCTGATGCCTTATTTCATAAGGTCCTTGACACAGAGGTATGCCCTTACTGAGGATGTGTGAGCCTTCTCAGGTGTTTCCTCACTGACAGCCAGGGGCTGCTAATTGTACTGGACTGCTTTCCATGTGTGCCCTCGTGCTCCCCTGGAAGGCTCTTTCCTGCTGGGAAAAAGGGCAGACTTTGTGCATGAGGCTCCCCACATGAAACCTCCATGGGCCTCTCACTGTCCAACCATGCCATTGTGAGAGCAGGCACTGTCCTGGCTTCCTTATTGCTTTTTGACAACTCTCAGATTATGAGATGATATTCACAGGGCTAGTTTGCTTAAAAAAATTCTGATAAAAACAAACCAGTTTGAACATATTTATATATATATATTGTCTGAGTACAAAATCTGGGCACATTCCTGTGGGATATCAGGAAGGGAGTTGGTTCCTACAACTTTACCAACTTTACCGGTGCTCAGTTGTTCCCTTGGCTGTGTGAATATATGCAGGTGAAATGCACATAGATTCAACTCACAGTAGTTTTATTACAGGGGTCAATGACCATAGTGGCCAGGGATAAGGCATGGGACGAGCAGGACAGAAGCAAGAGTTCTTGCACACACTGACATCTCATAATGGCCAGTAATGGGATTTTTCTTCCCCTTATATTGATAGCATCGTCATCAGCTGGGGATAAAAGGGAGACTTGATTATTCTGCGAGGAAAGAGACGCAGCCAGTCAAGGTAAGGCTTCAGCACTGCTGATGGGACCTGGCAGTTTTGCCTGTGTGGAGTAATAACCATGAACCTGACTGGTGGTTCATTGAGACAAGTGCTCTGTCTCTGACATGGAAAAGTACAAGAAACAGGCAAGTAGAGGATGATCCTGCCCCAGTTACATCTCCTTCATCCTTTGTCCAGAAGTTCAGGAGCTTCCATTTATGCATTTAATTTCTTCTGAATCTAGTTATTCTTCTACTTCTGCAGTGTTCTTGGTTGGGTGATTTAATCATTAATGGCATGAAATGGTACCTCCTTGCATTTCTGTGTAGGTGTAAATGTATCTGCTGTCTGATATATCTGCTTGATGTCCATTGTTCTCGGTATGATAAAAGTTATTAAATGTTCTCTTTTCTCAAGGCATCTGTGGTTTTGCACACATCTTCACATTCCTTCTCAGTTTTCCAAGCTGGAGGTCCTCAGTCTGAATTTTTCTTACCTGAACCATGCCAGGCTTCTCATTAGTGTTGCTATTTTTTTACCTTTTCTTGTTCTACTCTTTCTGTTTTGAAATGGGGAACCATAACAGAATTAATAATTCAAGACACATTCTCCTCTCAGTAATTCTAGACTTCTCTGCTTTTGACTGCTGATGAGCACTGAGCTCATGTGTTTGTTTGTTTGCCTCTCCACAGGATTTGGGCAGAACTAGCATGTAAGAAATCAAAGAGGTTTTAGGAATCTTCATTTAGGTGTCATGTAGGTTGAACTTGATTCTCTACTTAGAGTAATGAAAATCCCATAGAAGTCAATGGTTCTTCTCCCCATGCAATCACCTGAATTCATATGGGAAAAGTCATCCTCATTTTGGCAGAGACATGCTCAGAAATTATTTCTGTGTTAGGAACCTGAATGCCTTGAGAAGAGTGCCTTGAGAAGGTGGCTGCTTCATTGAGCAGTTGGTAAACAATGTCAGGTCTGTTAAACTGTAAATAATACATCTATAAGCAAGTCATGGGGTAAAGAGAGGAGGAGATTTTCCTGAAAGACAGTGGTCACTATGGAAATTGTAAAGGTGTCATTTGCTGAAGGAACTCCTGTGGTAGGAAGTCACCCCATGGAAGCAGCAATTCTGGCACCCTATCAAGGGATCCTGGGCTTGAATAATTTTGGAACGTAAACCAGAACTGCTTCCTTCAGAAAGACACCTGCAGACACCTGATCTGTGTGTGCTGTGCTGCCATGCTGGGATGCAGGAGCCTGGCTGGAGCCAGTGGTGTAATTTAATTCTCACCTCATCTGTTCAGTGAATTAATCTGAGTCGCTCGTCTGAAAGGAAAGGAGAAAGGCAGATGGCTGAGCAAAGGAGGGTGAGAGACAGAGCTGTCTGTTTTCAGTGGGGCAGGCATCCCAGCATTGGGTTGGTGAGAAGAGAAGGTGGGGAGAAGCTGCAGGCACAGCAGGGAAGTGGCAGATGCACTCAAATTGAAAAAAGAAAGATTCTTTCAAACAAACCAAGAATTGTGAGATACACAGAAACAGACATGAATAGAATGTAGTGGGTCAGCAGCTGGAGAGAGCTGCAGGAAAATGAATCAGGTGGGAACAAGTCTTTTGCTTGTCGCTCACATTCTCCCGTGATCTCCTCTTTTTCCTTAACTAGCTGTTCCATTGGGTCCAGGCCAGCTGATTGTCACAGCTGAAAGAGATGTAAGGAGACAGACATCACTGTTTTTGGAATTGGTGCCTCAGAGACATAAATTCCTTTTCTTTCAGATGGACCAAGTAAAGGGAGAAGTCACGCATACGTACTCCCCGCATCCGCCAGTCGCTCCAAGGAACCACCATGCGCGCTGTCCTTTAGTGTCTGGAGAGCGGACCGGCCGCTCACAACGGGTGGGTTCAGCAGCTTCTCCATGGGCTACCATGGAAGCACAGACAGCTGAGAGTGTGCCCTTGGACCTTAGTTCACAGCACTCACTGCCTGGATCATTCTGGATTAGGGCCTCGCCCTTGATCGCTGGAGGCTGATTTCCTGATTGTGTTGAAAAGGAATCTCCAGAAGCTAGTGTTTCAGGAATGGCACATCAGAACCAGGAAAATCCCCAAAACCTTTTCTGTCTGATAAATCTGCTTCAGCGTTTCCTTTTTAGCTGCCTCATGACTTCAGGCAGGCCAGTATCAGTGTGTTGAGCATTGTCAGTGGACACAGGGGCTATATACAAGGTTACACATGTTGTAAAGCCCTGAAAATGGTGGGGGTCTTTTAGAAAACAGAGTTGAAAGAATGAATTCAGACTGGAGCTCATTTCAGAAGGTTGTGGTCTAGGAGCTCTGACTTTTGCTCTTTGTTAACAGCAAAGAAGGAATGTTAAGAAACTCTTGAAATATAATGGTACTAAAGCCTGAAGTCAAAGGTCAAGTACCTAGATCAGTTTCAACTGGTTCTCTGTATAAATAATGATAACTGATGCAGATTGAAGAGAAACTTTTGAATCCTGATGACCTTCTTTTCATATAGAGGACACCTAGACTTGGAGTTGATGATGGTGGTGGACATTATTCTTATTATCACCGAATCAAGGATCCTGCCTACTGTAAGGTGGTGAGTTAACCTCAGTTAAACAGTGCTGTTGTTAGCATTTTAACTTGGTATTCTGAACGGTATGCAAGGAAAACATGAAATAAAACAGCCAGAAAAAGCCGAATATTTAACAAAAATAGGTACTTTTTTGTTGTGCATTCTCTCTGGGTGCACGTGCTGAAGTCCATAGCACACAGCTACAGTTTCTTTGAGTTCATAGTGTTTGATCCAAGGCTGTGTGGTGATGAGACAGCAGCAAACCTTCTATTTATGGTCAAGAGTTGTTTTGAATAGTCCGTTAGAGGTGCCTAAAGGGGTCTGGCTCTTTGGAGGCAGACTAGAAAATGTCATGTCCTATAGGTACCTGAAATCATTCAACACTTCCGGATATCTTCATCAGTGCTATTATTTTTCTTTGTGGCACTGCAATGCACTGAGATTTTGTCATTGTTTTCTTCTCCTTTTGTAGAGTTCCTGGTGACCAAATACAAAGCAGCCCTCTTGCCCCCAGCCCCTTCTTGGCTGGGCTGCAGCAGGGTCTCTACCAAAGGCTTCCAAACAGAAGTGTCATGCACTGAAACATTATCAGCAGTTTGCCTGTGGGGTGAGGTTGTACTGTACTTCATTCTGAAAAGAATATCACTTTAGGGACAGTTTTATAATATTGTTTAAGTACTGTGGTTCCCAGAACTGTATACAACAAGGAACATCCCTTTCAAATGACATCAACTTCTATTTAAACTGTCCTTTTTCACTTCCCCTCAATTTTCAAGACACTGTCTTACTGGTCTAATGCCCAGTTCTTGATCACAGTAAGGAAAAATGTGGCGACTTACCTTTTATAGTATAAAATCTTTCTGCATACAAAATTTTCTCCCTCTAGATTTTCTCTTATGTAGAGAGAGAGGCAGAACCTGGTTGACTCCAGGAACTTCAGAATATTTTCAGTTGCAAGTCCTACAAGTTGTCGTTGTCACCTACAAAGTAACAAAAAATTCCTTTTTTTGATCATTCCTTCTACTAAATCATACTAGTGGGCTTAGAGAATGAGAGTCAAATATGGTCTTGATATGTTTGCAGTTACTTTCAAGTGATATTTGGACTTGTGTTCTGTTCTAGAAAAACATAATGTAATTGGTTTTGTGATAAGCATTCTGTGGGGTGAGAGGGCTTTGGAGTGGGTCTGTGATCTGCTACCACTGGCTGGCAGACATAGTGTGAATAGCTCTCTTCTGTGTTTGCTGTGCATCAGCATGGTCATGATTCTCCACGAATTTGCTGGTTGGACCTCTTTACGTCTACTCAAATTACGGGTGATTAAATAGTTTATTTAGTGCTCATAACTGACGAAATAGCTAAATCAGATGTAAGTTCTGAGAACATGATGCAGAACTCAGAGCCACAGCATGCAGCATTCACAGAACTTGTTCTCTGGTAATGTCTTACTCCAACGGGCTGTGGTCCATTTTATTCTGCAAGAGCACTAAGTCTCTATTCAGATGAGGAAGCAGCATTTTGAAGTACATCTTATATAACTGGTGCCACATGATGCTTTTGTTGGACAACTGGCTGCAAGGGAGCAGCAGAGCTGCAGGGCTGTACAGGGTTCTGTCTGAGATGAGATTTTGGTGGTGCTGGAGCCAGGGCTTGGTCCATATGCTGGAGCCATGTCCAGCTCCATATGCTCGGGAGCTGGTTTTGCAAAGGCTGTGTCACTTCATTAAAATGTTTTTCCAGGGGGAGAGGAGTGAGTTACAGTTTAGGAACACAATGGACTGCATGGCTGGTGTGTCACCATATCAGCTCCCTGTCATCAAGCGTCGTGGTCATTCTGTGGTGCCAGTGCCACCACCCCGCCCGCATGTAGGGGACAGGTGTATCCCTGGAATCAGGCGTGGGCTGCCTGTAGAGAGATGGTTTCATCCCACCACTGGATTCAATGAACAGTTTTTGATCAATGTAAGTAGTCTCTGTCCATGTACAGGTGTATTACATTCCTCACTGGTGTGTTTGCTTAATGCTGAAAGATGTGCATACCTAGTTTGTATAAAGAAAATGTATAACTATTAAAATATATAATTGCTATGCATGTCTCTGTAAATGAAAACTTTTGGTGCTTTTCATCAGTTGGGGAGAAAAAAGGTGCTGAACAACAGCCTAGATCAACAGTTATTCAAAGCCTTCCACTTCAGTCAATCTGATTTTGTCTCTGGCACTAGAATCTCAGGGATTTGTGAAATGCCTTGAGTCTATGAACACTACATCAGTTACACTGTCTCCAGCCAGTTTTAACTCCTGTAAATAAAGTTGTAGGAACCCAGGACTGGGAGGGATGATATGAGTCATTAAACCTGGTCCCTGCAATTTGGGGCTATTCAATGCATTGGCTTTTAGTTGGAAATATATCCCAGACCCTCTGCATGTTACAAACACTTCCCAATTCAATCAGCTCAGCAGTCATTATCGAAGCCCAGAAGTCTCAAGTGTGTGCTGCGCAGATGTGAGCTTTGTTTCTGCCTTTGTGGGAGCTGGGAGCTGAAGGCATTTCTGTGCATTTTCTGCTGCAGAATACCAATGGGTTCCCCAAGTCCCCATTATGCAGCAACGCCCTCGTCACCATGATCTACCTAGGAAAGAGTAAGCACGTGTCTCTTCGTGACTGGAAGGATGAAATCAAAGTCTATCAGCAGTACTGTGGAACAGAAAACATTTGTGTCTATAAAGGCGACCTGTTAGAAGGAGGTAAGGATGGAGTCAGAGAGTTCATATTGATTGTCTTTTTGCTCAGACTTTGCCCTGACATCAGAATGATTACAGCTCAGTTTGGTCAAGATATATGCATCCATGGATATTTGTACATCTACCTCCATGGCCAGCTCCATATGCTCAGGAGCTGGTTTTGCAAAGGCTGTGTCGCTTCATTAAAATGTTTTTCCATTAAAATTTTTTCTGGATCTGCTGTCCCATGATTGAAAGTGAGGTTACAGTTACTTTTGCGACGATGGTAGAAGATTATAGAGAATTGATTTAACAAAATACTTGTGGCTTATGGTAATTTTCTGTATAGATAGAGGTTAATAGAGCAGTTGTAGCAATAGACTGTCCTTAAAAAGGGGTTATCTGAGTTGCTAAAATACATCAGTGAACGTTGGTTCTTATTCCAGAAGGAAAAGTACACAGTGGGAACGTGGTTCCCATCTGTTTTTGTGTGAGTGCAATTCCATCACAGTAGTAAAAGATGAATTGTGTTCTGGGAAACTGAACACAGGAAACGGCTGAGAGGCTCTGGCCTTTGTCCTGCTGTAGCAGTGAGTGACCAGACTGACAGTGTGACACTTAGCCTAGCTGTCCCTTAGGATTCTGGGGCTGGCAAGAGCCAGGGCTGTGTGTGTGGAGGGGTAGAGTTTAACCAACTGTTGACCAGACCTGAGAACCCCAGTGCCTGTCCACAGAGGGCTGGGTACCGTGGTGATGCAGTTAAGGCACAGCAGTTGCTACAGGCTGACAGTGAAGCATAATGTTTTTCTTTGAACCCTTTATTTCTGTGATTGCAGACACCTTCCAGTTCATCTCCAAGAGGTACCTCGGTTTCCCGTTCAGCCTCACCTTTTTCCTCAACGGGCTCCAAGTTGACAGGCTGAGCTGTTGCTGTGAGTACAGAGGCTTTCAGTGCAAGAGGCCTTCCCAGCTGCGACGCAAAAACACCTACTTCAGGGTGCTCCATGTGGCAGGAGCACCTCCCTGCTACAGGTATGGAGAACGTGCTCTTTCACAAGGACCTGGTTCTGAGAGTTTCTGACTCGTTTCTCTTCCTTCATCTCTCTGACTGCACACAGCTCTGTCAATCCTGCTCTGTTCCTCAGTGCCCCATGGGAGGTGCAGGAGGGAGGTCCCCTGGCAGGGTCTCACATCCAAGGGTGCCAGCACAGCCAGTTCCCGTGGCTCCTCAGCCTCTCTGTGGTGTGTGCACAGCGTGGGGACAGTGCTTGTGTTGGACACGGGCCAGTGGCTCTGGAAGTGGGGACCTGTGCCACCCGCGTGGCTGTGGCCACAGCAGCAGTGGAATAAAGACTGAGCATGCCGCTTGGTCAGCAGTGGTTTCCAGAGGCTTTTTTTGTGATAATTGATTTTTAAACAGCTCTACTTCTGAAGTGAAAATCTGTTGTAATAGTCCCAGCTTCAGAATAAGGCAGCACTGAATATTTGCCATGATTCAGAAACCAAATCTCTGCAGAAAGGTCTTGGTTAAATCTCAGTGCTGTGACCAGCAAATGTGACCAGCTGTGATTCAGCTAAGAGGCTTTAATTTTCATAAAATCTTCCTTTTCTGGAATTCTTAGTTCAGGCCATGCAAGTAAACTTATGATCATGTGGATAATTTAAAATCTTTTATGTTATTTTAATAAATAATTTCTAAAAGAGCAGCAAGCAGTTGGAACAAGAGACTTTCCACAGAGGTGTACTCTGTTCCTTCAGATAAGGACTGAATTCTAAGGAAAAAAATTGCTAGTTTATTGTATCATAGTTTTTGCTCCAGTCTAACAGTGAACATGATTTATCTTCATATTATGTTCATTGCATGTTCAAAGGAGTGAAAAGCATCTGAATTCAGAATGGCTATAGATTTTAGGAAATGCTCCAATCTCAGTTTTTTGTGATTTCTATAAAGATTTGAAGTGAATTTTCAGAATTTAATATAGTATCCAGAAATTTGATTAATTAATTCCTAACTTACTCCCCCTTTCTGTCCCCCTTTCTGTCCCCCTTTCCCTCTTACTCTTAGTGATGTCTCTCTTTTCCTGCCTCTCATCAATCCAGCTGACCTTATGTGATGACTAAAAATAATCTCCATTAACCTGATTTTCCCCATAAATTACAACTATTTTCACACCTCTTCAGGCCAAGTGCCCTTGGGTTTGTTTTATGTTTTATGACATACATTGAATGCCCACTCTGGTTCCCAGTAAAAGTCCCAGTTGATTTTCCCTGGTGGGTCAAGGCTTTGGCTCACAACGAGGTGATGCTGCAATGATTTCTGTACCATGCTGTAAGCCTTGGTCTGAGAGCTTTCTGCTGGCCAAGGCCCAGCATGTCTGTACAGCTCCTGACTGTAAGAGAGAGAGAGAGCATATCACTCCATTTTATACAAGAGGGGCAGTCTCAACAACTCATTCAAAATGCTTTGTTTTCCATGTTTGGGTTTCTTTTAAGTAGGTATACAGAACAGAAACAGAAAATTACTAAATTTCAACCTTGTTCTTCCCCCACAGTTCTTAGACCCAGCAGATAAGTTCAGAAACGCCCAGTCTTACCCACAAACCCTCAGTTATCACACTACTGGGAGTTACAGCAGAGTCTGGATCCAGAACATGTCTGACTCGGAGCTTGTCTGCCTTTTCGGTGGTTCTGTCTTCACAGCCAATGCTTGGTGCAGCCTCAAACTAATGGGCACTTGTAATAATTTTGGTTCTGTTTGTATGTCAGTTGTCACCTGTTAGTGTGGGCAGCATTACTGTCCTTCAAGGAAGAACTGCATCTGTGTTAGGGGAGCTCTCAGGGGTTTCAGGGTGCTTCTCCTTGTGAATCACTGTGGTGGTGCAGAGGCAGATGGACGCTTGGTTTCCCTGCTAATAACACGCTGAACTCACTATGTCTGCTGCTCTCCACTGTTCAAAGGAAGAAAAATGTAGTACTTCCCAAGCTGTGTTATTTTACAGGTGCTTTCTTGCGATGGGTCTGGACAAAAAGCTGTTCCCTCCCAAGAGGAAGAGTAGGTACTACAAGAGGCAGCATATGTGTCCCTGTTCTCCCTACTGTGCACACAGCCAGCCGTGTGACAACAGCATGGTACAGAAAGCAATGACAGATTCAGTGTCAGTCACCATACCGAGTCATGAAGTAAGTGTGGAAACTACTGAGGAAATATTGGACAATGAAGAGGAGTCCAGCGAAGAAGAAATGGAGGAGCAGTTTACTCCTGAAGACAGTCAGGACACCAGTGAAAATGGTATAGTATTCCAAACAGGAGCAGGGGATGAGAAATGGGAGGGGATGGTTCTGGAGAAGGTATGGGATTGTGGACCTCCAGCTTTAACTTGGGCATGAGAAATGTGGTGATGTCTGTTTCTGGGTCACAGAATTAGAGGGGCTCTTCTCACCCATGCAACAGGATGAGGTGGTTTTCAAGAGCCAAGAAAGTGAGTGAGGAAGGGTGGTGAGGCAATGACAGAGGTTCCCCAGAGCAGCTGTGCTTGCCCCATCCATGGAAGCATTCAAGTCCATGTTGGACAGGGCTTGGAGCAACCTGGGATAGTGGCAGGTGTACTCAGCTGTGGGAGAGGTGTTGAGCTCAGTCTCTGCCTTTACTTTCTCCTTATCATAATCTTCTTTGGAGGCAATCACATTCACAGGGAGACTTTAATTCCCACTTCCTATTCCTATTTTCGCTTTCACAGTTCTGCACTGTTGCTGGTCATCTGACAATCGTTAGTCCCTCTGGATGTGTGTTTGGGATTAATGAAGCCTTTTTCCTTAAGGAGGAACTGCCCTTCTGACAGAGACCTCACTACCAACATTGCAATTGGAATCTCAATTGATATTTAATACAGAAAAATAAATCTTCTGCCCTTAGTTCTCGTTGTCTTGGTAATTGTTTGTTTGCCTTAATGGTTCTGCATCAGGAGCTCTTCATTTCTGTCCTTGGTGTTCTGTCAGTTCAGTATGCTAAAAGCCCTGATGGAAGGAAAGGAGGGCAGCAATAAAATCTGCAGCGTGAGGAATGATGGCCACAAGGGACAGCTGGTGTGGCAGCAGTGCCAGCTGGCCTGCGTGGTGCAGGTGTGTTCCCCGCGTGCAGGGAGCCCGCGGCAGCAGGGCACTGTCTGGATTTGAGGTGGGAATCCCCAACATCCCTGTGCTGGTGCCTGGGATGTGCCCAGCACAGCTTTGGGGGGAAGGGGAGTCTTCTCTACTGCGTCTGCATGAAGAAGGTCTCCACCTCCAGAGCCAGCAAGGTGCTGTGAAGGGCCGAGCCTCGAGGATCCGTGTGGATCCCGTCCAGCTCAGTTTGCTCTGTCATCTGTCAGATGTCACAGCTTTCGGGCTGGTGCCTGGCTGAATTCCAGAATGTGGATATAAGAGCGGTAATTCTGTGCAGGCTTTGTTTGTCCTGGGTTTTCCCCTGGGCCCTGGAGGAACACGTTAGAGCAGTGTGATAACAGAGTGCCTCTGCAGTGCCCTTTGGCTGGAGTTCATTAAATTTGTTGCGTTTATAAGACACTTCTTTGTTACTTAGCCATGTCAATATACACTTACTGTGTTTTGCGCTATAATAAATTACCTTTCTCCAGCTTTCTCAATTGCTTGTAATTTTTTTCATCACAACCAGTTTTTCTCCTGTAATGAGACTCATATTTAATTTCTGAGTTATCCCAGCTCGACATTTTTCTAGTACTTTCCATGTCTGGTAATCTTGTTTTTATTTTTGTTTTTCTACATTTTTGCTACTCAGTGAAGAACACAATGCTTTTTTATGATAATATGCTCTTACAATTCCCATCTGTGGTCTTAGATTCTCTCATGGCTTTAAAAAGACAGCAAATTCAAGGGCAAAAGGAGATTAATGATGTTAATTAATATAAACTCAGAATGTTAACACTGTCTCAGTGTTTCTATCTGCTTAAAAAGAACTTTTAAAACTGTGAATTCTGTTTTCTGTCTCACAGTACAATTCTTCTATTTTAGAATATGAAGAAGATTTTGAAGCATATGAAGTTAATGAAGAGGGACAGACTGGTGATCAAATGAATGGAATGTCAGAGTCATCCTCAGATGATAAAAACCATAATTTAGACTATGGAAAGGAGAGTGAAACCTCATCTCAGAAGGCACTGCATGCCTCTGACAGTGAGAAAGATGAAAGTGATGGACATTCTGATGACAAGGACTCTGAAGATGATCGACAAGGTTAGTTTTGTTCATAACGAGGCTTGGAGAAGCTGACCTGATGCTTGTTTTACAGTTTGCATGTGTCCAGTGTGTATGTATAGTCTGCATAGGAAAACCTATGCCCTTCCTACTGAAAAGCTAAAAGACAGCTGTTTTATCTGCTGATAAGTGTGCCACTGAAGTGCAGGCAGCCCCTGGCAGTGAGATGGGCCTTTGCTGAGCTTTCAAGCGCCAAGATGGAGATGGAGCCAGGCAGCAGGCTGGCTCTCAGAACCCTGGCAGGCCAGCCCTCCATGTCAGCAGGCACTCACAGGTGGGAATCTGTGACCCCTTACACCTTCTGAGGGGTCCGAGGAAACCTGACAGGCCACCCTGGGTTTTAAAACTGCTGTCTTTAGTGGCCCTGAATATGGCCCAAATTTAGCTGGCTGTGCCAGAGATCTGGAAATAGTTAGATGGTCTGGAAGGAAAGGCAATGGTGCTGTGCAGGGCTGGGAGTTGGACGTGATCTTCATGGGCCCCCTCCAGCTCAGCTGATTCTGTGGTTCTGTGATTCTGTGGTTCTGTCTGTAGAGGAACCCATTTGGTTTTCCCGTGATGGAGCAGTGGGTGGGTATCGTAGCAGGGGTGGGTACTCTGAGTGGGTATCGTAGCAGGGGTCCCCATAGCAGGGTAATAATTAGCATCGACTCCATGATTGCAGAAGGCTGATCAATAGCTTTATTGAACTATACTATACTACTATACTATATTACTGTCCTGTTAAGAAACACTCATTGCTCTCGCAGACAGTCCGATACAGACTGACCAGATTTGTTAATTGAAATCTAAACACCATCACCATGGACTAATTAGGAAATCACCTTTTGGTAAACAAATCTTTATAACACATTCCACATATACACAACAACAGGTGCAACAAGTGAAGATAAGAATTGTTTCTCATTCTTTGCTCTGAACTTTCTCACAGCTTCTCACATCTTCCCAGGAAAATCCTGGGAAAGCTATCTCTCTCTCTGTTCAAAGTAATCTTGTGATTACTACAAGTGGGAATCTTTAAACTGGGGCTGTAAGGTTTATTGGTGCAATATCTTTTTCAGAACATGCACTTCTGCATGGATTATAGTTCTGACACTTTTATTTTCTCAGCCTGACTGAATTTTTTGGTCTTGAGTTAGACCAATCTCTTCTTGAACCCATGTAGGTTGTGAGCAGCAGCAAGGCTGTGCAGCAGTCAGCTCTGCTGTTCAGCTCACTGTTAGATGAAAGATTACAGCCTTTTTTCTTCTCAGATTTTCCATTTATGAATTTGATATGATGATATCTGTATATTTTTTAGAGGAGACAGTGAACTTCATCTCCAGTACAACCTGAAGGGTTTACACATGATTTTGGAGATCTTTCTAATATTCAATGAGTTAACAGAAGGGCACTGAGGGATTGTTGCCTTGGTTGATGTCTTTTATCAAATGAAGCTCAAGAGTCTGTGCTAAACCCTGTCTGAGCCATATTTAGAGGTGCATTTTGAGGTGGATTTCTGTGTGATTGATATAATTATTCTGATTTATTTTCATTATCAGATAAAAAGCCTGCATGTTAAATGGCTTTAATTTTAATACTTATACATCTGGGCAATGTTCTTCTATTTACACTTACTGGAATTTTGTCACCATATCCTCAGATGCTATAATTCAGAAAATGCTATTGGATGGGACTATGTCTCTTTGTGAGTCCCCAGTGAATGCAGAGGTTAAGTGACAAGTACTAAATTCAAGTTTGCTCTTTTCAGAGAGGAGGCCTGCAGACTCTCTCTCATCCATGAGAACTCAGTGCAGCACTGACTCTCATGCTGAAATGATGGCAGACAATGTGAATGGCAAAGAGGATTGCAATATCAAAAGTACATCTGATAATGCAGGACATGCACACTATGGAAATGAGAATGGGGAGAAGAAACTACTCAGAGCAGAGGAAAATCAGGAGAATTCTGTGCTGGAAAAGAAAGGGATAGATAAAGCAGAAAAGACAAAACCAGAAGACCTAACAGCAAGGGAAGATACTGGAATTTTTCATGAAAACATAATGGCAATGCAGCATCAAAATCCTGAGGTTAACGGGGAATTCAAACAGACTGGGTCAGGAGAAAGTAACATGAATGATGAGGAGAAATGTCCTCCAGTGCCTTGGGAAAGCAGGGTATTGAACATGGAGGATGGCAACGAGGAGGCTCCTTGGAGTGAGGAAGGAGGTGGTGAGTACAGTCCCTCTGCACAGTTCTGCAGCCTGTGCTGCTGCATTTGCCTTGTGCTCATTTGGGGAGTTGCTGGAGCTGCTGTGAGCTCAGTATCCACTCAGAACATTAACACTGGCTCAGTGTTTCTCTGCTATTGTTTCAAGTGTGAGGATTTGTCCAAAAATGAATTTTAGAACCATTTTAAAGCTGAGATGGCTGAATGGCTTCTACTCCCCTTTTGCTCTTTAATAGTTTCTCTTTCTTGCTTCCTGTTTTCTTTGTGATAGTTTTTGAAGATTACAAACCAGTCCAGAAGGAAATAGCAAAAGCAACTGGAAATGATCATCCTGTGAATTCTGACCCTGAGCCTGGTGATTTATGTGCCAATGAGGAAGAAAAGAATGCAGCAAATACAGAGCGTGGTGCCAGTGGAGGTAAGATTGGTTGTCAGTCAGGGACAAGGATTAAGTTACTCCCCTGAAGTCTTTTAACAGAAGTGTTGGCCCTTTCCCTTTCCTTTGGATATCAAAGTCTCCTTGTGCTTTTTTTCTTTCCTAACTTGTAAAAAATCAGGTGACAACTAGCTGGCATCTGTAGTCATTTATAATTAATGCTTTTTTGGCCGTTAAATGGCTCTAGGAGAAGAATCCAGAACATGAAAAAACTGTGAATCAGGAAATAGCTGTGGAAAGCAGGAATGTAGTGAGGTTCCATGTGCTTTCTGCTAGTGTGCAGCCTCCTTGGGAAATGCCTTGGTTCCCAGGGGCAGGAATTAACCTTGTATTATTCCCCGGTGTAATTACAGAATCCACAGGAAGCTGAATGCTCTTTGTCATTTCTGTGCATATTTCACATGAGCAATTTGTTAGCTATTCCTGACTTTCTGAGTGTCAGTGTCAAGCTTATAGGTGTTGCACACACACACACGAGCTCCCTGCAGGTAGGAAGGGAGGCAGGGCAGGCAGGACAAGCATGACTGGCCTTACATCAACAGTTTTAGTTAAATTCTTTATGCCAGATGCCAGAGCAGCAGTACTAAAGACAAAGCCAGGGCGCAGGGATGCGATGAGAAGCATCACAGCAAGTTCTCTCCAGGTGCCCAGGCTGATGTCCCTCATTGCTGAGCAGAAATGCTCCTTTAGCACTAACCCTGTGAAGCATGTAACACTGACATGGTGCTGAGTAAACCAACACTTGGTTATTTCCCGGTAGCACCAGCTGAAAGTTTCCTGGCAGAAGGGAGGAGAAGCCCTGATGTGCAGGAGGCAGCAGGACAGGCGGTGCGAGAAGGGGCGGTGACAGGGCCGGGACAAGCCCTGGAGCAGGATGCTGCTGCTGAAGGAGATGCTGGCAGTGGAGAGCCTGCAGGAGAAGCTGCACAGGCGGGGGATTCGCTGCCCCAGGCAGGCGCGGGAGCTGCGCTGGAGGAATCCGCACCTGGGGAAGGCGCCGTGGCAGAGGAACATCCCAAAGGAAAGGGAACAAGGGAGGCAGTGCAGCTGGGCACAGAGGTGTCACCCGGGGAGCAGGAGGTGCTGGTGGAGCGGATGGAGAGAGAGGTGGCACTGGGAAAGCCAGCAGCTCGGGGAGAGCGGCCAGCTGGGGCACTGCCAGGATGGGAGGCAGACAGAGCCGTGCCCCAGGGACAGGAGGGGGCTGGCGGGACCGCTGAGGAGGAGGCTGCAGAGGAAGGCCTGAAAGCAGCAGGGCCGCCAGCAGAGGAGGAGGTGGGTGAGCCAGAGTCCGAGGCAGGGGAGTCCCTGGGGCAGGGAGGGTATGCAGGGAAGGACACGATGGTGGGTGCTGTGTCAGAGGGAGAGGAGGCTGTGGAGGATGCTGATGTGGCAGCAGATGGGAATGCCAGAGCTGTCGGCCCTGAAGGAGAAAAGGCTGTTGAAGAAGACATTTCTGAAGGGAAGGAGGCTATGGGGAAGCCTGGGGCTCTCTGGGAAGCACTAGGTGATATGGAAACAGGAGAAGCAATGTCTGGAGAGGAAGGGTTTGTAGAGCCAAGTGAGTTTTCCCAGCTGAAAGTGTCAGGGGAAGAGTGGATGGAGGTGAGGAAAGCTGACACAGGAGCAGTAGCACTTGAGAGTGCTCAGGCTCTCCAGAAAGTGGAGCACACGATGGAAGAGTCTGTGGAGCCTGACAAGGGTCCTGTACTGGAAGTGGCACCTGGGTTAGGGGCACTGGGGGGTGCTCGGGAGGGTCCTGTCACTGAAGGGTCATCAAGGGTGGAGGAGACGCCGGCAGCAGCGCAGGAGGAGGAGGGTCCAGCAGAAACCCGTCTGAGGAGTAGAAACCCGTCTGAGGGCAGCAAAGCAGAGACTGAGAGATCAGTGGAAGGAAAACCCGAAGGAGAGGTGGTGGGAGGGTCTGCAGGGGCGGCCGGAGCGGGCTCGGGGGATGAAGAGGAGGCCACAGACGGAGCAGGAGGTTCAGAGGAGCCGGCAGCTGGGACAGAGGGGTGGCTGAGGTGTGCACCAGTGGGCGGGAAGGGGAGGGCTCCCGGGGAGGGGGCGGTGGGCGAGGCGGCGCTGCCGCCGCCGGGGCTGTGCGGGGGCCGGCCCGGGGAGCCCGGGCTGGTGGCCATCGCGGTGCTGGGTGGGCAGGCCGGGCGAGGAGCCCTGCCCGGGGGGCGGGCAGTGCCCGGGGCTGGCGGGGTGGGCACGGGGGCGGTGGCGCAGGAGGGGGTGGCAGGAGCAGTGCAGGGGGCACAGAGCGGGACAGGGGCGGCAGCGGCAGAGGAGGTGTCAGCCACGGGGACGGCGGCGGTCGGGGAGTCCGGGGAAGGGCTGGCCGAGGCACCTGCGGCTGGCGGGCGAGCGGTGAAGCGGGAGGCAGCAGCAGGGTGCGGGGGACCGGGAGCGATGCCGGCGGGAGCCGAGGGCCGGCGGGAGGCGGAGCGGGAGCCGGGCGCGGTGCGGGTCGGGTCCCCACGGCGCCGAGCGGCGCCGGGAGCGATGCCGCGGGCACGGCCGGCTGCAGAGGCCGCCCCGGGCAGCCCTGCCCGTGGGGACGGGCCGGCGGCACCGAGGGCCAGAGGAGGGTCCGCAGGAGGCGAGGGGCTGTGCCTGGACACCCAGCCACAGCTGGCAGCTCCAGAGACAGGGGCAGCGCGGGGCAGGGACGGGCAGGAGCAGGAGATAGAGCAGGCAGCAGTGAAAGCCGAGGGGGAACAGCCGGGTCCCTGTGAAAACACAAGCGAGGGCGAGGTGGCGGATGTCTCGGCGAGTGCAGGGACCGCTGCGGGAACCGGGGAGCCGAGGAAGGACAGTCCCGTCGGAGGGAGCCCAGGGCTCCCGGCAGGCGCTGCCGTGGGCGAGAGGAGCCGCAGCTCCCGTCAGGTGAGTCCTGCGTGGGTCACTGCCCCCAGCCGTCCCCAGGCTGATTCCTGTCGGGGACAGGGGATGCACCATCTCGCCCCATTCCTTATCCATTCCTTAAATGTCTGCTGATGGTAGCTGGGTCAGGGGATGATAAATCCTTTTGGGTGGCGGCTTCTGCATTGTTTCCTATTCCCAAAATCCCGTGCAAATAAATCGCTTTGCTGTGGCACTGATTCTCACAGCCCCTCCTCTCTCCCTCCCCTCCGGCCGTGCAGATCAGCTCCCTCTACCCAGCATGTCGCAGTTCTGGTGGCATCGGGTGAGCCCTGGGAGCACTCGGCTTCCCTGTTACTCTGGCCTTTCCTCGTAGGAGATGTCACCGCAGTACCTCAGTAGGTCCGAGTTCAGCACGTTTTCTGTGATGTTTGGTCATTGTTTTCTAGGACAGTGCAAACCCAGACCCACTCATCATGTCCTCAGAACAGCCTCAGTATGGGGAAGAAACTCTGCTCTGAGCTTATTCGGCAGCTCCTCAGTGTTGTGTCCTGCAACATACACTCAGCTGGCCGTGGGTTTGTGCCGGTTGGGATGTCACTCCTCTCTTCACCCTGTGAGCACCACAGCCACCTGTCACGTTTCACTGGAGCAGACCCTCAGCATGCAGCGCACAACTGAAGCAAGCCTGTGTTTGCCAGCCCAGGAAACAGCATTCCTTTGCAAGGATGAAGACAGTAATCACAAGGATTGTTCCACAGCTGTCTGGCTTGTTTTTCTTGAAAACCAGAGAAATAGTGGACTGACTGAACTTCCCCTCCTCCCCTAGGCACCACCTGCAGGCAGGGCTTTTATCCTGGGGTCTTCCCTGTCCCGTGCTAGGGGAGGGGAGCCCTCCTGCATGTGCAGTGCCCCCTGTGCCAGGAGGTGTGGGGGGGGCTTCCCTCCCCTTGGGCATCCAGGCTTGGTGCTGGCCACGCTTCAAGGCATTCTCAGCATGTGGAAATGTTGCTGAAAGTTGTTAAATCAGAACAATTCTAGCAAGTATTTGTAAATGCATAAAGCCTGGCATTCTGCTTTTGCTGGAGTCACTCAGGAGTGGTGCATGGAGCCTCAGTGAGGCTGCCAGGAGGGAGGTCAGTTTAGAGTTGTCTCAGCCTGGTGCTGGCTGTCCATCTCTGCTGCCCAAGCCTCTTGTCAGCTCTGCTGCACCTCTGCAACACTGGGACCCCCAGGACCCTTTAGGGCTGGGCACCTGGGGCTGGGTGTGCAGCAACCCCGAGGCACTCTAAGCTTGGTGGGTGCAGCAGACTCAGCCCCACACAGTGGGGAACTGTAACTGGAAAAGACACTGAAATGAGCAGGATTTTGAGTGGATTGGTGCTGTGAGTAACTTCAGGTCAATATACGTGGAACTGGAAACTCAAACGTGATCAAGTGGTTGCTGTGTGTTTGCTGCTAGAGACGTTCCTGTACTCAAGATGGTTGTATTTCTGTGTTCAGTCTGGACATGTCTCAGAGTTTGTGTTTTCTGTGTCCATACCCATGCCTACATGTTCACTCAGGCCTATTAAATACCTGTACCAGTCTGTGCAGCTTTTTAACTGTAGGAATAACCCCTGCCAGTGCAGCAGAGCCTGAGCTTTGGTGTCTGTCCCTGCTTGCCAGTGGGCTGACTGATGCTGGGCTGTTTGTGCCACTCTTGTGCAGGTGCCCTGCTAAACTCATGCCCAGGGCTGCAGGCATGGCCACACCTGGGCGTTCGGACACGTGAGTGGCAATTCCAGGGTTACAAGTGAGCAGAGACAGAGGGATGCAGGGATTTGCCTCTGCAGAGATTCTCTGGAAGCTGCTCTCGGCCTGCAGGAGACCCAGGGCATCAGAGAGAGCCTTGATGAACAGAGCAGTGTGACTTTAAGGAACTGGAAAACTGATAGATCATTATTTAACAGTCTTGAAAAAATTATCAGTGACCTTATGTGTATGGTTGTAACAGCTGAGGGAAAGAATCCTGTGGTTAGGAACACATATATGGACTTCCAAAACATTAGTGTCCCTGTCATTTGAGGAGGCAGAAGTTTGGTAATAAGCAAAGCCATGGAAATGGGTAATTGTGTAGGTTTGGAAAAGCTTCCCATGGTCCTTTCTGCTCTCCTATATGGTGCTAATTAGTAATTAACTTCAAAGTGAAAAGTAGGTTGCACTTGGGGAAAAACAAGATGTGCAGCAAAAGGGAAAAAAAGACTAATTATTAAAGTGAGCATATGTAAGCAAAGCAAACTATCCAACAGTGTAGCCACTGGCAAAACTCATTCTTGGCTCATCAGGAAGGCTTTTTTAACTCCCTGAAGTGTCAAGTATTTTCAGTTGCCTGTCATTGGCTTCTGATGGTTGTGCCTCAGATGTTCCTCAAACAGCTGGAACATGGTGACATTCCACAGCTGAGAAGATACATTTCATCAGTTCAAAACCATGCCAGCTGTGCACTGCAGACACAGGATGGGAGAAATTTAAAGTCTATCTCCTGGAACTGGGCACCAAGCCTGGCATTGCTGGCAGATATGTGGAATAGTGACTCACGGACACCACCAAGGATGCTGGGTGTGGACAGCATGGGCAGCTCATCCATCTGTCTGAAACAAGGGCTGCAAGGTGAGTTTCCTGGCTGGGAGTTGCCTGAGTGGTTTTGTGGCTCAGCTGTACAAAGCAGAGTGGACCAACCTCAGCCTGCCCATTGGGGCTGAGCCTCTGAGGCAGCCCTTCAGTCCTGGCTTTGCTGTCCTGTGCCATGCTGGGGAATGTTGGGGCCTGCTGCAGGAATGCTGGGCTCACTTCTGGCTGCTGTCCAAACCCTTGTCTGGTTGGACGCCAGATTGTTTTTATCTAGATCACCTATTGTGGATATGTTAAACAATTTAAAATATCACTACAGCTGCCAGGCACTGGCAGGTCTCCAAAGCAGGGTAAGAATCCTCTTAGCATCTCGTTCTTGGTAAATAACTTGGTATGCTGGGGCTTTTCTGGGAACAGCACAGGCTACTTGCACTCTCACAAACTGCTTTGGAACATGTTCTACTCATTTACATTTTTCAGAGTTTTTGTTTGCTTCACTAAGTGTTCACTCCTATGAAACACGTTTTCCCCCTGAGCCTGACTTTCTTCTATAGAGAGCAATTAACTAAGACATTGTATCCTTCAAGGAACTGGTAATTTTAATTAGTATTAAAATTAGTTGCCAGGACTTGTCTTTATAAAGAGCTTTTAAGCTAAAAAAGTTTGGATTTGATATTTTTTGTTGTTTCCATGTGTTCGCTTCTGACATGTTCTGAGAGGGTGCTCAGGGATGACAGCAGCAGCTCAGGTATCAGTGAGTATACAAAGGTATTAATGCACATGAAGTCTGCTTCCTTGCTCCACTTTTGTTTCTCTAATCCAGTTTAGTTTCTGGTTTTCAGGCCCAGTCACTGAATGCAGAGTCACTACATGGTTACTTTAAGCAAGGGAAAAAGATAGAATGCAGAGATATTTGTAAGAAAAAAAATCCTGTTGAAAAAGAATCAGTGCTGGAACTGATTTTCAGATATGACAACGGATCCTTTTTGTATCAGTGGTGTTTCTGGCCAATGCAAAGACCAAGGAATGAGACCTAATCTCTATCCACTCTTTTTCATCAGCCTATTCCCTGCCTGTGCTTCTATAGCTCAGTCATGTGGAGCAGATCATCACCTGACCAATTAGAGTCAGGTAGACAATGTTCATCAGCATCCCAGATGCAGCTTCTCCCTCCTGCTCTGCCCCTCTTCCCTCACAGCATGCAAACTGCCAACCTTGCTTGTACTAGAAAAAATAGAACAGATTTCCTCCAGTTGTAGACAAATTGGATGCTTTTTTTGTTGTGGTTTGCTGGAGCTTTATAGTTCCTCTTGTTCAGCCCCTTCCATAGAAATCTTGTGACTTCTTGGGCGAGGAGATTGCAGGAGACCCAGGAGGGTCCTTGTGAGCCCCATTCCAGGCTTTCCTGTGTGTTTATTCTGAGATTTCTATTGTTCCAGCAGCTGCTGGTGTAAATGGAACAGCATCTGAGACATGAGCCCAGTGGAGCAGTGGGCAGTGCTGGGAGAGCTGTGACTGAGCTGGAACAGTTTCTCCCCATTCAACCTTTCAGCAGGTGAAACAGAACAAAGGGAAAATAACCTCTATGCTTTACTTAGTGAAATCTTCCCCATTTTTATTGCTTCAGCACTGTTGAAGCAATGGTAGGTGTGGCAGCAGCATTGTCAGAGCCCACCATGCAGCCATAGCTCGTGTCTGTCACACTGCTTGAGGCCTCTTTGCATACCTGCTTCAGGGATCAAGTCTGGGGAAAAACAACATCCTCAATAACACCACAGAACCCTGCATCCATGGGAAATACTGATTCCTGCTCAGCCAGGAAGGCAGCTCTGCCTCGGCCACACAGACAGTATTACAGATATATTTTGTTAATTTGAAAAAAGACCCCAGAAAATAACAGTGTGATTAACTCTGTAATTGCTTCTAGAGGAAGAGGTCAACTGCCTTGCCTCTATTCTCTTTTATAATGCTCCATGGTCAGAGTTGCTGCTGCAGGGCATGGGGTGGTCAGCTGAGGGAGATGCAAAAGCAGAATTCAGGACAGGGACATCTGTCATCAACACTAAAGCTGCTCAGTCCAGGGATGTCCGTGTGCCACTCGGTGCCGTGGTGATGGCCAGGCTGGGGCAGCTGGACGCTCCCTCCCTCAGCTGCTGTCCTCCATGCTGCCGCTGCAGGAGTGGAACCTCATGGTGCTCAAGGGGTCAGACACGTACCCTGAGGAGCAGAGAGGGTCCCTGCAGCTGGCACAGAGTGCTCCCCAGCCCTGCCCCGCAGTGCCAGCACAGCAGCCTGTCCCGTGCTCGGGGGGCTGGGGGGCACTCTGCACAGCTCACCGTTTTTGTCCACGGCTGGGTAGTGGAAGTTCCTTCTCATGTCATCCAGAGACAGGCCCTGAGAAGGGGGTTGCCCAGTGCTGCAATTCAAGCAGGAAGTGTCAGTTTGTAAGACTGATGAGGGCACATCTCCAGACCGAGAACTTTTCTTCCCAAGTGGAAGAAAAGAACAGTACCATCAGACTTCAGCCTGGGGCCCGGCCACAGCAGTGCAGTAAACAAAAAGGAAGAATAAGTCATGAAGTGAGACCATGACCCCGGGCCTGCTGGCACTCAGTTACCCTCCTGAGTAACTGCCCTCAAATACCCCATTTGGGGCTTCACAGCTGTCTCCGGATTACCATCTTGGACACAATTCCAGACATCAGTCCAGGGTCATTGATGTTTTTTGTGTGTCACTGCTAAAAAGTCCTTGCAAATAGATTTCTCAGGCAAAGAAGATGGGGGAATTATCCTCCAGTCATGGACCAAATCCACTGTCCTGCCAACATGTGGTTCATCCCTGATCCTAGGGATGGGAGTTGCTATGTTTGCCCTTGAAACCAGTTCTCCGAGTGGTAGGGTATGATACCTCTGGTATTTACTTAATAGTACAATAATATAGAACCCATGTATGTCCCTACCTTAAAAACCATCAGGAGTTCTTACGGTTCTATAGTCATGAAATGAGTGATACCCAGCTTTTAGAATGTACCCTGGTACGACCAGTCCCAGCAATGCTGACTCCCACAAACCTCTGCAAGGCTCTTCCTTACATAGCTGTCTCCTGCCACTGTACCTGCTGGAAGGCTCTGGATTCTGTCTGTCTGTCTGTCCATCTGTCCCTTCCCTTCTCAGCAAGGACACTTTCACCCTCCCAGTGGCAGCCTGGGCTCTGTGACGGACAAGGTGATGGCACAGGTCCAGAGCTCTCTCCTGGCCCTGCCACACCACCTCCCAGCAGCACAGCCCACTTCTGTCCTCCAGCCAGGCCAGGGGAGCCCCAGGGCCCGGGGCTGTACCCACCCCTGGGACCAGGCAGCGTAGGCTCGCGCGTTGATGGCGTATTCCAGCTCGAACCGCGAGCGCAGGGCGGCCACGTGGCTGCGCCCAGGGCCACCCCGGGCCACCAGGCAGTCCGAGGAGGAGGAGGGAGACAGGGACCCGCTGCTGTTGCTGGAGGCTGGAGACATTAACTGGATTAAAAAAAATAATAAAGGTACCATTATGGCATATTTACAAGTCCTTTCTCATCTCTCTCTCATAAGTCGTATCCCACTTTTCCTTGGACTTTTCCAGCAGCTCCAAAGCCACCGCTGTCCTCAGCTGCTGCCACTGTCCCTGTCCCCATCTGCACTCCCATCTGCGTGCACACACACAGACCTCCCCTGCTGGTAGTGGGCCCTTACCTCAATATTGCACAGACACTCCTCTAACTTTGTGACAACTTCTGAAAACTCTGGTCTCCCCTGAGAACACAACAGGAAAAGCAGAGCTGGGTTAAAAATGGGAGGAGGCAGATCTGATGTGGTTATATTGACACACAGGGAAGGGATGAGCCACAGGCCTCATCATTTCCCCTCTGAATTCATGGCATAGCTATTGGTGTGTTTGGGAATTGGATGAAATCTGCAAGTTCAGTGCTGAGCTACAACATAAAGATGTGTGAACTTTATGAACTTTAACTGCAATTCAGCTCTTTTTCTGTAACACTTAGATTTGAGCTAATGATGGCTAGATCACAAAAAAACTATCGATAAATGATCTGCTCTGCTCTTTGCCCATCAACAGCACTTCAGACACAGCAACAGCAGAGATGAGCAGTGGACAAGTTCCTGGCCAGCCTGCCTGTATGGCCATCCTCCTCCCTCCCTTGTCCATGAGAGATGCACTTAATAAAACTAAATGTTTACTTCTTTGCAGAGCTCAGCCCTAGGCCTAACGGCAACTTCTCTGGCTCTAATTAAAGCTCACAAATCCAATTAGCCAATGAAAAAGGCTTCTCGGGAGATGATGCTAATCTTCTAATCACCAGTTTGCCTTTGGAAACAGCTGCTGTCAAAAGTTTCTGGGAAACAGATGTTCAAGTACCTGATAAATAGAAACAGGGATATGTCACATGGGAGCTAGTTTTTCAGCTGGGATGAGCCTTGAATGAAATGAAAGACAAATAAAAGGATACATTTTCTAACTTGGAGGCATTTCATGGCCATCCAGCAAAACTCCTACAGGTATACTCCATTTTCTGCTTTTTTTTCCTTTAAACTGAGCAGACCTTGTGAATAATTTTGACCTGTGAACATTTTTGAGCCCCAAAACTCACGTTTTTTCCATAACAGATGGCAAAAAGCAAAATAGAACCTAATAGAGAACAGTAGCAAAAAAAACCTTAATAAAGATAATTCTGACAAGTTTTTGCTCAGATCTTGTGCGAAGTTCTGGCCATCCATGGGCTCACTGACCCATCATTTGTTTTATAGTTCTGTCTTGAAGCTGTAAAACACTGGCAAGATGAAGTGACATTGGAGTCACAAATGGGTAACAAACTGCACTGAGTCTCTGAAAAGATGGTTTCTCCTTATAGGGCTGACTGGCTGTGGGCATGCTGACAAGACACAGGGACTGCACCCATCTCAGTGCCTGCTTAAGTCAGCACTTTAATATGACACCTTGTTCATGAATTTAAAATGAATGCGTGTTACATGCTGTCATTAACCAATTCTTACAAAAATCTGAGAGTAGCAAGGAATTTTCTACTCACTCTGTAACAGCTCAAGTCATAATCAGCATTACATGACTAATTAAGTTTTGTTAAAAGGCTAAATGTTAATTTATTTTCCTCCTCAATTCACCAACTCTCCTGTCTTTCCTGACACACCCCATTGCCTGCCTGGGGGTTTCTGCAGTGACCCTTCCCACAGAAACTGAAGTGATTTTGGGGGCATCAGCCAGAGCAAAGTGCCCATTTTCCCTCTGCTGGGCCCACTCACCTCAGGACAGGCGTTCCAGCCCCTCATCAGCAAGGCAGAGATGGGCTTGGGGATGGAGTAGCCGATGGGGGGGCGGATGTGGTGGTAAGCCATGTCTGCTGCTGCTGCAGCTGCACAGGACAGCCAGAGACACCCGTCAGCCCCAGAGCCACCCAGAACATCCCTACCCACCCCTGAGATATGTGTCAGCCCCAGAGCCACCCAGAACACCCCTACCCACCCCTGAGACACCCATCAACCCCCAGAGCCACACCAGAACACCCCTACCCACCCCTGAGACACCCATCAGCCCCAGAGCCACCCTGCTCCCAGGAACACCCCTACCCACCCCTGAGACACGTGTCAGCCCCAGAGCCACCCAGAACACCCCTACCCACCCCTGAGACACCTATCAACCCCCAGAGCCACCCAGAACACCCCTACCCACTTCTGAGACACCCATCAACCCCATATCCACCCCAGAACATCCCTACCCACCCCTGAGACACCCATCAGCCCCAGAGCCACCCAGAACACCCCTACCCACCCCTGAGACACGTGTCAGCCCCAGAGCCACCCAGAACACCCCTACCCACTTCTGAGACACCCATCAACCCCAGATCCACCCCAGAACACCCCTACCCACCCCTGAGACACCTATCAACCCCCAGAGCCACACCAGAACACCCCTACCCACCCCTGAGACACCCGTCAGCCCCAGAGCCACCCAGAACACCCCTACCCACTTCTGAGACACCCATCAACCCCAGATCCACCCCAGAACACCCCTACCCACCTCTGAGACACGCAGCAGGTATGGAAACCTACTGCAGAGCTATCCAACCAACTAGCAAAGGCTGGATGAAGGCTGGGGGTTAAAGGAGGCTTTTGCCATCAGACCAAGAGCAGACTGAGATGCCCATCACCATGGCCACAGGCCCACCTCTGGTCACAGGTCAGACAGCAGTGAGAGTCTCACTGGCAGAGGGGGCTGAACCCTCCCTCCTAACCCATGGCCCTCTTTCCTCCTGGCCCTGGCCATGTCCTCAGCACTCATGACCTCTGACAGCTCTTTTTCAGACATCCAGGGGTCAGAATCTCAGGAGTGCAAAGTGCAACCCTGGAAATGTTGCTCTGCTGCCCTTCCCCCCGTTTGTAGATGCTGTCCTGAGGCAGACCCTGGAGCTGTACCAAGGAATGGCTTTGCAATCCCAACAATCATGTGAGACACGGACACCCTGCAGTCAGAGCATCTTGTTCCTAGTCCTAGACCTAGATAGGATAGTTCTGTGCTCTTCACCAAATGCAATATCTCAGCACTTGGTAACACACAGCAGTATGATATGGGTTAAAATCACACAGTGTAGCTACTTCTTGACTTCAGAGAAATTGAAACTATTAGTTCATTGAGCACGTTACCTGGTTTGAGGTGAGCAAAGGGAATTTCCCCTGTTAACAGCTCCCAGAGGCACAGAGCGTAGCTGAAGACATCGGCTTTGATGGTGTACCTTGTGCACTGGGTGAACACCTCAGGGGCCATCCAGCGCAGGTTCTGTGCACCAGGAGACAGCGACCACACGTTAGCAGTGTTTGCTTCCTCACACAAACTGTGCACCTAGTCCTCTGTTTGTATGTGTGTCTTCCTTTGTTTCCTTATCTCCCGCCTCCATCACCTAATAAAATAATTGGTAATCTGCCAGGAAAAACTCTCACCTGGCTTGCAAGATCAAGTCAGTGTGTTACAGTGTTATATGGAACTGCATTAACTTGGTGCTGTCTCGGGTCTATAGAGCCAGGTTGAGCTGGCTCAAAACATCACAGTAGGGTGAGAATAAAAACCCCAGGCTCAAGGGCTGAGACATATGCATATATAGCATATAATAAGAATTAACTACTGCTGCAGCTGGCAGAAGTAAAAGCTGGCAATAGCTGCATTGCACTGGGGCCTGCTCTCTTGGGGTCTTGCTGCTCTCTGCAGGCCCCAATTGTGAGGCTGCCTCACAAGCAACTTGTCTCTTCCTGGGGTAATGGGTTCAGGGTGGATTTTCAGAGTCCTTGTGCTCCCTCCTCTCCAACCACACAGTGAGTGCCACTACTGAGGGGTAAAGAACTGCTTGCCAAGGCCTGGGGTAGCACCACCCATCCCCTGGCACTGCCACTCCATTCCATCCCATCACCCATGCCAGCCCACATCAACAGTTGGGATGATGTGAACATTCCTGGCCAAGGAGTGACACACAGGACACATCTGGACTCAAACCATGAAGATAACAACTGTCTTGTAAATCTGACTGTGAGCAACGGGCTATTGTGAGGAAAAGAACTGTGAAATAAGGGAACCAGTGCTGAGTAGCTGTTAGAAAAAGGAACCACCTGCCAACAGCATGTGCATAGGGAAGAGTAGATTAAAAACAACTCTCTAGTGAGGAATTGGAGCAATAGAGCTCCAAAGACAGCCTTGTAAAGCATTTTTTTTCTGCTGCAGGTGTCACATATTCCCTCATCTCTATTATTGAAGACAGAGGAAAAAAATAAAACCAAGACAGAGAAACAGTGAGAGAGATTTAATACTATACCTGTCCATCTATTCCAAGAAACATATTTCCAATGTCTTTTTCTCCTAAGCTATGTTTCTATATTTGATATTAATTATGTGAAATAAAACAAGAAACAAAATAAACAAACCCCAGGTTGTTTTGTCATGTTGTCTTCATCCAGGGATTGCAGAAATCGAGATTCTGAAACAGAGCAAGAAATACACTTATTATACAGAAGTCCTACCTTAAGTGCAATTCCACAGGACCTCTCAGTAAGCACATGTTTAATTTTAGAGAATTTGCAGTTAATTTATAAGTGTTTCATAAAAACTCCTTACCTCCAAAATCAGCAACTACTGCATGACCATCCTCATACAGGAGAATGTTATGACTGGGGGGAAAAAAAACTACAGGTAATTGTTTGATAGCGTCTTAAAGATGGTGAGAATGCTATAGTTTTTGGCTCATAGTGAAATAAGTGAGTTCAGATCACCTCCTTTCACCTCCTCGGATAGCTAAATGTCTATAGGTATGCCTCGTATTTACCATTAGAAAGTACACATTACTCCTGAGAGGGCGAGCCAACCTTTGATCTGCATGCAATAAATCCAGAGAGACTTTTAGAAACTGCCAACAAAAACACAGGGTTTCAAACAAAATGGAAACTTGGGGAACGACCCACAATCTGCTTTAGGTAGGTCACAGGTTTCCAGTACCTCTGAAGATTTCCCTGCCCCAGTCACTACACCTTCATGGCACAGGGCTGTGGAAGGGCTGAGCAAATCTCAGCGTACGGAATGTGGACACAACAATGCTCTCAGGATTTTTATCAAATGCTGACTCAGCCAAGAAAATTCAGGAGAGTGAAAAGTGTATGAAAAACAAAAATGGAAAAGCTGGCAAGAGTTTACATGAGGAGGGAAAATGGAAGAAATATTGATGGTCTCAACAAAAAGCACAACTTGCTCATATTAGAGCTGCAGAAACAAACAAGAACAGTCAAGTGAGGAACACAAATTTTACCAGAAAGCAGTCTTAGGACAGAAAAAAATTTAAGCTCTCCCAAGCAGGACTCCCGCAAATCACTGTCTTCAAGATTTCCACCTTCACCTAACCCAACCCTCGGGATGATAAATTTAATCATAAAAATGTAACCATGACTCTCTTGATTTGTATTTGATCTGATTTTAGCTCTCATATGTACTTTTGATCAAAACATTGACATGATTTTAGTATGACAGGCGGAATTGTTTTGAGACCCACAGCATATGCCAAATGAAAATATGAATCAAACACAAGGCTGAACTAGAGAGACTCTTGGAGGCTGTGCCCCAGGGTGGGTGTAGGTACACAAACCATACAAAGCTGCAGAGTTTGCTGTGGTCTTTGCTCAAATTTGGCCTCTGTCAGTAGACACAAAAATTATCACCATGTCTCAATGTCAATAAACTGCACTGAGCCCTAGCTTCAATTTCAATCTATTCCAGGATTGTGTAGACATGAATAAATCCAACTTGACAAGTCAAGACATAATGAAGACCTAGGCTGACAGTTTTTGTGGAGAAGCAGAGAAATCAAATGAAAATCTCTTTCTCCTCATGGCATGCATCAGCCTTTCATAGAATCACAGAATCTTTGAGACTGGAAAAGAAGTCTCCAAGACCTCGAAGATCACAGAGTCCAATCTGTGACCAACCCCTGCCTTGTCCCCAGCCCAGAACACTGAGTGCCATGTCCAGTTGTTCCTTGGACACCACCAGGGATGGGAAATCTGCCACTGCCCTGGGCAGCCTCTTCCAATGCTTGACCACCCTTTCAATGAAGAAATCCTCCCTGATGCCCACCTTGAACCTCCCCTGGCCTAGGAACTGACCAACAGTGCTGAAATGCTCATCTTGGTGCTGAGTGCATTGATATCTGAGGGCAGGAAGCAGACTCTGAGAGGTTTTGTTAGTCTCTTGCCTCCAGGGAGCAGTAATGTCACTGATTTTTCTTTTTTAAAGTAAAAAATACACCCCACAGAAATAAGGCTTGGAAGGTACCTCTTAAAAATGCTGTTATTGCCTCAGTGACACTTGAAAATTTGAAAACCTCAAATGAAACAGGTACTTTTAAGTTTGTGTTTTGAGAAATACAGCAATAAAAATCCAAGCTGAACTGAGCTGGCAGAAGACCAATACTGAGTCCAGTAAAATCAGAAATTAATTGTTTTCTGTTAAGGTCACAGAGGGATTGCAGTGGTGAGAGCAGGCATTGTTCTCTTCATGAAACCATGGAAGGAAGAAAATGAGATAAGAAGGAGGAGTGTGCAATCATCCTGGCTTTGGGAAAGGACATGGTGCTGGGGTCTGCCAGGCACAGAGGCTTCTCTCTCCCATGGCAAGTGACAGGCTCAGCACGTCCCTTTCACAGGGATTCGGGCCATTAAAAGTTCCTTCTGCCTTTCACACACTATGGGTGTAATGAAAAGCAATGGATATTTTAGGATTTCACAAGGGATATTTCAACAAAGAGGAGTCGCAGACTCCATCCTCATTACCACCAGGCTGCTGTCCTGTCTTTCATCTCCCTCACCAAGCAGCTCTCAGAAGTGTTCACAGATAGTTAGAGTCATCAAAAGCAGGTCAGTCCCTCAAAGGCTTCCTCCAGCCATGTTCAGCTGTTATGGCTTAAATTAAATGGATAATAAAATGGTCTCTCTTTTATTAAAGTGCTATAATCATTGTGGCTGCCATCCCTCACCATGGTGCAAGTGGTAGTAAGTTGATGCATGTCACCATTTCTGATGGTTGTCAGAACTGAAAAGCAAAATAAAACTCCCAATTATTCTTCAAATGGAAGGATAACCCCTTTTCCAGGGTAGAGACACAAAAGATTAATTTTCTTCTTTTCTGTCAAGCCATGTTGCAGGTTTATTTAATGCATTATATGCAGTGCATTAGATTTCAGAATCACAAAGGTGGTTATGAGTTATGTGAAAATTTAAGGTAAAAAATATGAGGCTCCTGTGAAGTCACTGGCAAAACTTAACACAGAATTTCACTCTTAGTCTTTCTCTTAAGCTGTTGCAAAGATTTTCATCTGGTAATTGTGCCTGTGGGTTGGCTGGGACTCATGCTGCAAACATGACTCCTGCTCTTGCACTCAGCTTTCAGAAGTTGAGCTCTCTCAGCAGCACACATCAATGGCACCAGCAACCCTAGAGCACATTATCTTCTGACCCTTATAAATATGACCTATATGACTTCTGCAGGGCTTTCTGGCTCTCTAGGAAGATACTGGTTTGGGTTTTCTTTTGAGGAAATCCTTATTTAAAATCCTGCAATGCAGAACTGTTCTCCTAAGAGCCACCAAGGCACGGAGCTGCACTGAGGTCTGAGCCTTGGCTGCCCTGGTCTGAGCCTTGGCTGCCCCAGAGCAGTTCCACAGGCTGCAGTCAGGCACGGGGCTCTTGGCTCGTGCCACTGCCTCAGAAGCAAGGCTGTCCCTCGGAACAACTCAGGTTTGTGGCCCAGAAGGACTGGGCAGGGATGCAGGTACGTGAAAGAGGCTCATAGGATAGTGGAGGATGCCATGCCAGCGTGCCTGCTACTCTTGAGGGCTGACAGAGCTAAGGACCATGTTTTGGCTTTAGCAAAAGGATCGTTTTTATCTCCAATCTTGCAATCACTGCAGCTCAGGTATTTCACCCCCTGTTGCTGAAACATGCACAGGACTGTTTCCACAGCTAGAACAGAAAGAACAGGATTTCCCTGCAGATACCGAGGCCCCAGTGCTCCCACTGGGACACCACTGAAGAGATGGATGAGTGCCCAGTCCCATGCAAGATCCCAGCTCCCAGAGGGGAGCGCCAGAGCTGCTGCTAGCTGCAATGGATGAGCCGGGCAAACCGAGAAACACACCAACTCAGTGATTGTGGGGAGGTATTTACAGGGACAGACACAAAGCAAAGGGACAGAGATGATGTGCTGAGGGAATGTGACCAAGTGCCCTTTGACAGATGGTGTTAGGCTGAAACTCAGCCCTGGAAAACAGAGATTCAGGCAAACAAACAGATGCAGGAAAACAATGTCAGTGACTGCAGCCTTCCAGGACAACCACAGTTAAGCTATTGTGATTTGTATGGTTTGTATAAAACCCCTGAGATTATTTTCAGCTGAGTGCTAATGAGACACTGGGGTTGCAGGAGACTGCACGGTGCCCCTGTGGCTTTGAGCTTTCAGGTTGTCCAAATTTTGAGGTTAAAGACAGAAACTGACCTGTTCAGATCCCGATGTATGATGGGCTGTGTGAGATTGTGCAGGTACTCCATGCCTTTGGCCACATCTACTGCAATGATTAATTTAGACTGCAGATCGAGAATTCTGTATTTTGTAAAAAGTAAAGATTACTTGAAGTTAATAGACAGTTGAAAAGTATTCTGATCTGTAAATCATGCAACATTTAAAATTGTTTTACATACAAAATAATGTTACGTAATCTATATAAAGTAAATCAATATACTGTAAAATAATGACAATAACAAATTTGTGAAGACTTATCAGTTTACCTTGTACACCCAATAAACCGAACCAAATCTCAAAATTTTCTAGAGTGTTCCTTTCTCTGTTGTCCTATGCTGAAATGAATATTTGCATCAGCTTAGATTCCCTGTTCTTCTAAATTCTCTAAGCAGGCCCGCAGGTGGATGAGGGCAATACCTCTTCTGCTCATGGAGCAGGGAGAAGAGTGATCCCCCAGAGATGTACTGGGTGACAATGGCAAACTGGCTGGGGTCATCCAGGCAGGCTCCCACGAACTGGATGACACAGGGATGGTTCAGTCGGCAGAGAATGGAAACCTCCCGGCAGAACATGTCCACGTCAGACTTGGAGCAGTAGGTGTTGGCTCGGTAACTTACAAGTGACAGGAGAGGAAGCAGAATGCAAAGGTATCATAAAATATGGGCTTTTGAAACACTTCAAACCAGGTGATTGACCAAGCAGGATGGAAAAGCCTGACAAACTTACCGTTTAATTGCAACAATTTTATTTCTACATCGTCCCTTATAGACTTTTCCAAAAGACCCTAAAATAGTTTAAAATAAATAAGCTCAAATATGTTTGTTACAAACATCAAACATTTAAAGCAAATGCACTTTCACTTCTGGTACCTGAGCCGATAATCTCGTGGAACTCTATCTCAGAGAGCTGCAGGTGGAAGTGTGATGGCAAGCCAGCACGGAGGAGGAGGACATCGGCCTTTTCTGCAAGAGAAACACCCATCCTGTTTGTAAAACACGGCCAGGGGGAGGATCAGGCATAAGAGCACTGGACTTCAGAACCCTTGCACTGGGAGAGCTGATTTTCCCCTGTAAACTGACTGCTAATCCTGCTCCCTGCTTCAGGAAAGCCCAGTGACAGAAACATCCTTGCAACGCCCCAGGTTGCCCTGGGCACTCCTGGTTTGGCACCTGCCAGCCATGAGCACTGTCCCAAACCCTGCCTGTCCCATGGGATGGTGGCACCGAATTCCTTACATGGAGAACTCATTCCTTCTCTTTGTGCAGCCAGTACTCATTGCTGCTGCTGGGGATGCTATTCCAGAGCCGACTGGCTCTTGGTGACAACTTTGCAACTGAATTTAGTTGTCAAATGTCTCTATCTTGTTGATCTTTTCAGTTTATTATTACAAAGTTTATCAGAATATTTCTAAACAGAGCATTTTGATGCTGCTATGTAAAGGATGTAAATATTTGATTATATTCAAAGTGAACATTTAAAGTGAAAAATTGAAAGTAAAAAAAAAAAAAAAAAAAAAAAAAAAAAAAAAAAAAAAAAAAAAAAAAAAAAAAAAAAGGAGGAAGTATCCTAAAATACTTTAAAATATTTATCTGAATATTTCAGCTATATTTGTTTCAGAGCAACACAAATTATTTTTGGACAGAATTTTTCTAATTCAGGCATTCTATGGTGTGATTTTAATGATACTTATTTACATTAATGGAGAAATGGTTATTTCATTAGTGCTATTTCACATCACACCCTTTCCTCAAAGAAATAAGGAAAAAAAATATTTTTAAAGTGAATGAAAGCAAGGAAAATACAGGAATTGTCGTTATACTGAGTAACAAAGCTAAGTATATTGTTTCCTAAAATTATCCCAGGGAAATGTAACAGTGTACCATAAAAAGTCCAGGAATAATGAATCCTGTGTAGGACGTTCAGGCTGACAAACATATTGGCTCAAAGGACCACAAAAGTTCACATTTTCCCTTGCCATTGCAAATACCTTTTGTCATGCTTTTAATCTTCCCTAGGGGGGATGGCACTGACACATAGGAACCGTCTGAAATAAAGAACAGAGTGAAATTATGGAGTTCAACAACAACATAAGTGATGGTGCTGATAAATTAATGAGCCAAGGATGCCAGAAAAAATTAATAATAAAGGGTGAGAATTCTGATAAAACACCAACACATCTGATGGGATCTGGTTTGGGCTGGGATAGAGTTCATTTTCCTCACTGTACCAGACCCTGGGTGTTGTATGGCTGCAACCTTGAAAGGAATCTGTGTGTGGCCAGAAAATGGTGAATCCCATGACAATGATTTTATTTGTGCTGGACAGGACTGACCCAAAGCTCTCTGACATGGGTGGAGCACTTCCAGAGATTTCAGCAGTCTTTGGATCAGGCCCTTTGAATAAAATTATTGCTCAGCCCATACCTCCTCCAGGCTGGGAATATTCGTTGCAGGGGGACTCATCCTGAGGTCTCTTGTAATGCTTCAGGAGGGTCACAATTGCATCGTGACCTTGGGAAGAAAGAGAAATGCAAGGATATGCAGGTAACCCAAAAGACTTTAAGAAAAATGTTAATTTATACAAAATCAGAAGATTAAAAAAAATTGTAAAACATGCCTATAAAATATGCAAAGACATGGTGGTGCTAATCTAAACCTACTGCGATTCTTAATTGTAGAAATATGGGAAATTTCTGTAAAAACAAGGATGTTATTTTCTAAAGTCCACCTATTCCTGAAATGCAAGATATGGCAAAGGAAAACCCTGCTGCAGAAATCCTGCAATGAAAGTTGGCAATAGTCTTCAGTGAACTCTTTTTGAGTTTGTGCTGGATTAAACTAATGTTTAACAGAGATTTGAGATGACAAATTGAAGGGCTGGTGTTTATAACCCTTTGTGCCACTGCCTGGGGAGCAGGTGGTGGGAGCTTAGTCTGCATTGGCAGGTTATTTTGCAGCATTATCTCCTTCCCAGTCTGCCCTCTCCTTCCTGTACAGCTTCTGTGGGTTTTGTAGCAGAAACTGGAAAATTAAAATACCTTTCTCATAAGCCCACATCAAACAGGTCTGCTCATCCTTTTCTCCACTGGACCTGCTGGGATCACAAGCTACAAGATTCATGTCAGCTCCGTTATCCAGCAAGAACTGCACAAGGCGAATGTGGCCGTGGTAGCAAGCACAGTGCAGCCCTGGAACATCAGAGAAGTGTGGGGAGCACAGCTGTCAGAACATGGCAGTGGGACTGCAGCAACAACTGCAAAGTGCAAATTGATCTCCTCGATAAATAAATATGTTGCCCAAAAAATACCTGAGGCAAGAGGTGAAAATTAAACATTAAGGCTGCAAGAACCCATCTATTGCCTCTGCACAATGTGCCACCACTTACTTTGCCAGCTGCAAACCACATTAAACAACTCTATGTGAGAAAAAGCAAGTGGAAACAAAGGCAGCTCTGTGTAGTGGGGATAGGAAGGTCTGCAGCCCTTCAGACACTACATTCCAGAAGCCCAGCTCTTTGCAGAATAATTTCTAACACTACTTAGAAGCCTTAACATGGGAAGAACAGTTTACAGCAGGTTTTGTTACTCATATAAATCCTAACAGGCCTGATACATTCTCACTGAAGCCTTATCACTTTTATGCCTCCAGTAAAAATATTTCAGGAAGGCTGTGCTCTGTCTGAAAGGCACTCGGGTGCTGGAAATCCTGATGTGTGGCTTCCCAATATTTTGGTGCTGGTATCTACCCTTATACAGGAAGTGTGGTGGTATTACCTGTGTGCCCATCTCTCCCCTGATGATTGATGCTTACAACATTCTGGTCAAGAAGAAACTTGACAAGTTCTATGTTCTTTCCATAGGTGCAAGCGCTGCAGAAGTAAAGGGAGTGGTGAGTGGTGTAGTCCATAAAAGCAGTACTTTGGGTAGCCAAAAAGGAATTACAAATAGATAAAAATGCAGTAATAAAGGATCATTAGAAATGTGCAAATTCATGATTAATCCAGCAGAGCACATTCATTTTTATTGTTTCAGAAAAATTCTAATTATTGCCGAATCACCTAATTTCACACAGTTGTGCAAACAGTCTGAGTTGCAAAGTGCCTCTTAAATAGCCCTTTACAAATTTTCAGCATGCCAACCAAACTGTGTTCTGCCACCTGGTTTATCATTCAGAGTGCCTAGCCCCAGCAGACATCCAGGTGGAACAAGCTCTAATCCCAGCTCCCAGACTGGACAAGGAGAGGAACCATTGTCCAACCAGGTGTCGGTGAACCTGATTTTCACTGCCTGGTTCTGCCTCTTCCTTCATGCCCTATCATGTATCTCATGACACAAACTCAACCTCCCTGTGTAGCTCCCTGCTCACTTGGTTCCTCACCTGGCTGCTGGGAAGACATTTGTAATTTTGGTTGTTGTGAGACATTTGTAGTTTTGAGTGTTGTGCTGCAAGCGTGTGTAAGTGGAGTTCTACTGACAATGGCATTTGAACACCTCACCTGTGGAAAGCGGTTTCACTGAATATATTTTCTTTAGTGAGACTTTCTGTTCCTGAGAGTTTAATTATTTCCTTGACAACTTCAAACTTCCCATTGTAACAGGCACTGAAGAGGAAGCCAGTACAGAGGTGTTAGCAAAACCAGACTTCCCAAGAGCCCCAGACATGTCCAGAAGCTGCTCCAGGGCACTCACAGGTGTAGAGGTGTGTCTCCATAGATATTCACCACGTGGGGCTGCACTTCAAAGCTGCTCTGCAGTAAGAACTTCACAATATCATGGTGCCCAAATCGAGAGCAGAAGTGCAGAGGCACATGATCTTCATTGTCCTGAGCATTCACTGCCGGTCGACCCAGAAAAAGACCACAGAAAGGATTTTATCCTTAACAAAGTGTGTCTGGGATACTTTCAGATATTTAGTAAAATTTTATGTGTTGTGTCTATGCGTTTTGAAGCCTCCTGGAAAAATATTTGCAGACGTATTTGTTTAAAATTGAAATTTCTGTGATCTTTTGGATATCAAACCCACATTGCTCTGCGCCGCCTGCAGTGCACTGTCAAGGAGATTTTCTGACCTTGGGGCATGACTTCTTTCTTCCAGCTGCAAACTCATTGAGTCTTTTGACAAAGCTTTCCATGAAGGAATCATGAGTTATAAGTGACCCTTAGAAAGAGCAATTTTGAAACAAAAGTAAGATAGTAACAACATCAACAGAACTGGGAACATCCAGGCAGCACAGAACTGCTGGCATCTACCAGTAGCAGCAAAACATTCCAAGGGCAGCTGCATAGAGTGACCCAGGGGAATCCTTGATCTGCAGATGGGAATGTTGGAGACAGTCAGCTGTCATGGAGCACACCCATGCCAGGGAGCCTTTTGCCTGATTACGGGATGGGCAATATCTGTGGTTTTGGGCTGACTAGCAAGTCACATTTTGTTAAAAGAAATAGCTCAGGTTTGCGACCCCAATTACTGGTCTGCACTGAACAGTGCCAAATTCATTCAGGTTCTTTCCCCAGTTCCTTTCATTCCTGGGCACTAAAGACATTTCCTCTGCTGCTGCATTTACAGCAAGTTTCAAAGTGTGCTACTTTAAGAGCAAAAGGCTTCCCGCTTCCAGTCTCCCTTTTCTCTTTTTCTATGCTGAAAATTTTGAGTTTAAAGAGAAGGACCTGAAATGGTGCCCCAGATTCTTTCCTTTTGAAATAAACTCTCTAACAGAGGGCAAACCTCCCACTGCCTTGTCATGATGAGAGAATGTCTCTTTTTTCCCCCCTTTATTATAATTATATCAGCCCAGTGCACACACATTGAGGCTGAAACACCCTGAGCTCACTACTGAGAACAGCACACACAGACCTGACTGTGCTGCTTCCCTCCATGTTTTTCTGTTGCAAGAGGAGGATGTGTGATTGCAGGCAGGACTCACAGGGAAGATGGTAAATTGATGTATTAATGAGCAGCACGTTTCCAAGCAATGTACTGTTACTTCCCAAAAAACATTTCTGTCTCTTACTCTGAGGATAAGAAATTAATTATTAAATAATTTGTAATTTGCTCAGTATTTTACAGAATCATAGAATGGCCTGGGTTAGAAGGGACCCTGATCTTTAAGATTCCTCCTTGTGGGCAGGGACACCTCCCACTGTCCCAGGCCATGTCCAGCCTGGCCCTGGGCACTGCCAGGGATCCAGGGGCAGCCACAGCTGCTCTGGGCACCTGTGCCAGGGCTGCCCACCGTGCCAGGGAAGGATTTTTTCCTGGTGTTTAATCTAACTTTGCCCTCTGTCAGTGTGAAAGCATTCCCCTTGTCCTGGCACTCCAGGCCCTTGTAAATAGTCTCTCTCTATCTTTCTTTAAGGCTCCCCTCAGGTACAGGTAAGAATCTCTGCACTGATAATCACAACACGTCTAAAATGTGACCTGTAAGTTACAGCAATCACTGTGAGGCCACCTGGACAAAGAACTCCCCCAAGGCCCAAAGTGTGCTGAGAGACTTTTGTCCAGCCCACCAAGTCTTCACACAGGCATTTTCTCAGACAGAAAATGACCCACAGCTGACATTCCCAGAGAAGAGTGGGAAGCTTGTGGAGCATAATAAATCATGTGCTAAAAATTCCCCTTTTCTGTGGAATTCATATTAATTATTTTAAATTTCTTGCTGCATACTTTTGACTTAAAATCCTCCTCCTGTACCTCATTCAGTAGTTCTCTGTGCACTTGAGTCACTTTGACTACAGACCCCCACCACATGGCCACACGTTCCCTGCCTGGATAAATGTCTAAATAATGAGACACCTGTATATTAATTTTGTTTTCTGCCTTTGTTTTTCACCTCTAACTTATTACTGAAAATAGAACAAACGTGAGATTACAAACCAGCATACTTGGCCAAGGGAAGCTTTCCAACTGCTATTTTCTTGTTTTGGCTGTCCAAAGATGATACACAGACACACAGTACAAAGAGTATGTGTTAGGAAGCTAAGACTCTGTTCAGCAAACACAGTGTTAAAGATTATTTTTAAATATCTTACCATCAGCTTTGCTTCCTTCTTCCATCAAAAGCTTTGTGATGTTGAGAAAGCCTTTGGCGGCAGCCAGGTGGAGAGGTCTGTCCCCAACTTCACCACTCGCATTCACATCAGCTCCAAACTTCAGTAGCAGGTGGGTTACCTAAATATTTAATTAAGGTTAATTAAAATATCGCATGAAAATAAAACTTAGAGAAAACCAGATACAATAGTGCATTGGGTAATACTGTATGTGAGCATCTCTGTAAAGTTAAAACAGGGAGAAGAGATTCAACAGAAAACTCATTTTTAAGTTCCATGTCTATAAAAAAATTTAAATTCTCAAAAGCAAGCAGACGTTCATTCTGACAAACATCCTCTGCGGTGAATGGGCAGCAGGGGCATCAGGGTAGGAAAGGAGCACCCCCGGATGCCCCGGGCAGGGCTGTGCCCGCCCCGGTACCTGCTGGTGGCCGCAGTAGGCAGCGATGTGCAGCGGGGTGAAGAACACGGCGTCCTGCACGTTCACGTAGGCCCCGTGCTGCAGCAGGATGTCCACAGCCTGCAGGGAAACCAGCAGGAATGCCCACCACGAGCCTGTGCACGGCCTGCATGTGCTCAGCTGGTAAAACTGGACATTGAAACCTCAAGCCTCCAAGTTCAAAAATGCCAACCAGCCCCAAACAAACAAGTTCTAAAGGTGCAGAGCATGTAAAAGTGATTAACTTACAGTACTTGAACTGAACACTGAATGTCACTGATGCTTTATAAATGAGCCTGAAGATCGGTGTGCCACTAAAAAAACTGATTCATGAAGTAAGAGGCAGAGAAATATCTGTCTGGATATTCTCAGAATAGCCTTTAATTTTCTTCTAGCCATTATGAACAAAGAGCTGTAAACATATCAGAGATTTTAGAAGTGAAAAAGTCACACAAAATGAAAGATCCTTTTAAATTTAAATGTGTGAAGGTAAATCCTCAAACATGGAAAGATTTCTTTGTATTTTAGAACATAAGAGCTCTTTGGCTTCAATAAATAACCCTAAGTGCTTTCTTTCAAATTTCTGCTTTTTTTGGTCCTTCAGGAGGCCCATGTTTTAGTTTTTTTTGAAAGCTGTGAACTCTCAAGAAATGCCTTGCTGCATAGCTGCCAAAATAGAAGGCTGAGTGAAACCACTTTGGGTTCTAAACTGAAGCCTGCACTGTGCCGCTCACCCTGGAGAGCCCCTGCAGGATGGCAGCAGTGCCAGCTGTCCCGATGCACGGCTGCCACCTGCTCTCGGCTGGGACTCCAGATCATGGCAAACATACACACGAGACAGTCACTTCAATCCACGCAACTCTTGAGTGCTCAGAGAACACAAACTCTTCCCAAGCAACAGCAGTGTACAGGGATTGTTTCTTTACACAATTTCAGCATTTCTTTTTTCATATGATGGCCTGAAGATATTTTCTGCATACAGTCTGTGCCCTGACATATGCAAATGTATCCATTTCCCATTAGTTTTAACCATTTTTCTGTGGCATCAGCTATGATTTCCCCTGGAGGCAGCACTGCAGGGCCAGGTCTGATTATTGCCCTGTGTGGGGGTTCTGCATCCTCCCTGGAATGTTCTCAGTGCTGCTTCACTCTCGTTGTGATCCCCTCACCCCCTCCACATACAGTCAGAATTTCCCTTGCTAAATGCCACATGTGTTGACATCCTTTTGCTGTGGATCCTTCTGCTGCCAATCCCAAAAAAGCATTTGGACTACATAGCAAAAATCTGAAGAAAGACCCCCTGAGATCTTTCTGCTGACTGTTCTATCAGCTCAGCAACAGGCACTCAGGGGTGGGAATATGCTCAGGTGCTAAATAGAGAACACACTCCATTATTTAGTTAACACGGCTGATTCCCTCCACTGTGCTTCCCATGTCTGGCCAATTTTCAATATCTTGGTGGGCCAGAGGTGGGAACATAGAGCCAGCCAGCCAGGGATTTAATGGTTTGGTAGCTTTCAAATAATCAGTCTAAGACATTTTCCAGCAAACTAGCATGATAAAACTGAAGTTGTAGCTGTTGTCTCTGGAAAGAGATGTTTAGGCCTGTAGCTTTTACACTAATATGACTGAAACATCTTTGATCAGCCCGATTGTAATTTAGCCATGAATTGTGAGGCTGTAACACATTCAGGAATGCAACCATAACTCCAATTCTCCTCAAACCCTTTGGGAGCTGGAATTCAAAATTTAGATTCATCTATGAGCTTTCAAGGTGGATCTTCAAAGTGAAAAAGCCTGTGTTGAGTGACGTGGATTCATCCCTGATGATGAACATAAAACTAGATGGGTTTTGACATATTTTCCAGGCTGCAGCAATGGCAGCCATGCTTTGTGATCCCTTGATAAGTAGAATTTTGTGTGTTGTACTAAGCAAACTCCACTCAAGTGTAAATGATGAGAGGGGTATAGAGACAGGCTTGATAGTTTGTCAGACAAGATATCGTTCCAGGAAAGAAAAAAGAAGCCTTAGAAAGCACTGAAAGCTGTCATCACAAGTAGGGCATCACAAGTAGGAGGCTATGCTGGAGGGATGTGCAAGGATAGAAATACTTCAGAAACTAAGGAGGAAAAAAAAAAGATTTTTATCCTCAGGAGACAGATGGCAAGTGAAGGTGAAGCTTGCAACCCAGGGGATGTTCCCAAGCTGCAGAGAAAGCAGCTGAGTGGGCTGGTCTAAGGAAGCCAGCAGCATCCCAGTGGGGCTCACACCAGCACAGCCTGGAGAACAAGGGGAACTAATACTTCCCTTCTCCTTGTACAGCCAAATGCTGTTTCAAAACAATGCTTTAAACAACTTGCACTATAGTCTTTGCAATTTTTCTTAAAATTCTCTTACAAATGGTTTATTCAGAAGCTTTTTGAATGATCTTCACTTCAAAGACAATTAATTAAGCCACTCTGAAGGCTAGAAGGAGCCAACAAAAACCCCATGAGATAGACATAAAGATTTTGTCTTTTGGAAAAGGGCAAGGGATAAAAACTCATCCTTATAAGGTGACTTGAAAAAATTATTCCATGTTTCCATTAATATTAATGAAATTGTGGACAAAACAAGTTACTTTATCTGGAAGAGAAACTTCTAAGCTGACTGAAAATTTCACATCTAAGTAAAGAAAGAAAGCAGGAACTTGGACTACAGATCATTGGTTCCCAGAGCAGCAAATGAATCAAATGAGCTATAGAATCCCACTGCATTTATGGAGATGCTTCTGATACACAGCTGATCATTCCCAAGGAAGAAATAAGAAACTTTTCAATACTACTAACAGTTTATTTCTTATTGAGTTAATATTGTTGGGTTGTGAGCCCCCTAAACTTGCCCATAACCTCAGCAGGAGCTCAGGACATGGGAGCAACAGCAGGTCTCCCTTTGGCATTTACAGCAAAAGGCCCAGATGTTTTAGAAATTACTTGAAACCCCAGAGTGCTCAGAGAAGACTTTGTATTGTCCACAGAGGAGACATTAAATACCTATGAATGAAAGCATCCCAGAGTCAGGGCTCAGGTTAACAGCTCCACCATCATTCTGCACAGAACTATTAGAGTCAAATCATCAAGGTTGGAAAAGGCCTCCAAGACCTATCAAGTCCAACCTGTGTTCTTTTGTGCATGTTTGTTCAGTGTAAAAATATATGCACAGATATGATTTTCCTAAAATGCAGAAAAAATTAAAGAAAATGCAGCTGTACTTAACCAGTTCTGCATTTTGTTTGGAAAGACAGCAGTTGAAGCCAGAATGACCTGCCCATAGAGCGCCCACCTGTGCAGCCCTGCACAGCTCAGAGGGCCGTACCTTGTGGTGGCCGGCGATGGTGGCGACGTGCAGGGCCGTCAGCGCCCCGTAGCCGACCTGCTGGATGTCAGCCCCGCCGTGCAGCAGCGCCGTCAGCAGCTCCGCGTCGTCCTGCAAGTGGGGATTGCACCCCCATCACTCCTGGGACAGCTGAGGGGCTGAGGGAGCAGCACCAGCCCCGGGCTCCCGGCCGGCCGTGGTGGAGAGGGACCAGCACGGCCCAGGGGCTAGGGAGCCTGCAGAGGCTCTGCCCCGGGCACCAGCCCTCTCTCTGTTGCTATTCTGAAGCCTGGGCGTTAAAAAAGTCTCTATCCTGATTTTATGGTGGCACTGGACAACTCCTCTGTCTTGAGTTGCAGCGGATGTCTCCATCAGGAATTCCAAAGCAATATCCTACCCCATGGATAACACTGCAAAAGTGCATGATGATTCCTGTGCATGGGCTCCTTATGGGGCACTTTCCTGTGCACCACAGATGTAAAACTTATATTTTCACCAGAAATAATGACTAGAGAGCTCATCTAGACAGTACAGACAAATCAGTTGCTCAGCTATGATTTCCTGCCATCAATTCTATTGAAAATAACTTACCTTATAAGCTGCCAAGTGCAGAGCTGTAAATCCATTTCTGGTTAGTCTGGATGGGCGCAGCCCTTTCAGCATGAGAGTTCTGATGTGGGATTTGTTGCCTTTAAAGAGAAAAGCAGTAAAAAAGACAGTTACAGGAAAGAACATGCAGATGAGGTAAGAAGCTCCTGCGTGAGTTTAAAAGCAGAGAAATAGATATCTCGACTGCTGACCTGAGGCAAGTAAAATAAAATGTACCTTTTGATACTTCAAAACAATGAGGTTGATGGAAATATCTCATTGGCTGGGACAGTTGTGGGTCTGGACACATACCAGCTCACTGTTTGTTCACACTTTAATGAGGATTTGGTAAGGGTAACTGAGCTTCTGGAGAAGAAAACCCCTCCTTTAGCATCCAGAGCAGAGAGCTCCATGAACCAGAAGGTGCTTCTGGAGCCTCTGGTTCCTCAGCCACTGAGCTCCTTTGCCATCTCAGAACTGGAGCACTGCTCTCCCTACACAGGACATCCTTACAAAGACAGTAATTTTGGGGACTGCTAATGTGGGTCCATTAATGTGGTCCAGGCCAGTAGCTTTGCTCTGACCTTTTTTGATGCACAGTGAATAAATGCATAAATTAAATAAATTCATCTGCCTTCTGAGTACTTGTGACAGTAACCAAGGACAATGTCAGTCTAGCAGCTCTTTGCCCATCTCTGAGTGTTCAAAGAACTGATGATTAGTGTGTGTTTTCCTAAACTTCCTCTCAGCTACCCCAACTGCTCTGATGTTCCCATGTATTGATGCCATCTTTGGATAAGATCTTGCACTCAAAAAATGACAAGTGAAGATCCACTCATTTTTCAGTAGTGCAGGATCAGGTTGTTCCTCATGAAGAACATCTAACTAAGATTGATAAAATCATTTATGCATATCATTAGTCAGTATTTTGCAGAGCTGAAACCTCAGGGTAAAAGTCTCTGCCTCTCTCAGCCAATTTCTGCTGAAAATTGTATAACAAGAGCGAAACAAGTGCATGAACTAATGACTTTTTTGTGGATAACAGAGCAGCTGTGTGGATCAAAGTGGAAAATTCCACCATCAGGATGTTTGTATGAGCATCCCAGAACACATCTTGCCCTCTTCCCTTGTGTGTTCTGATGTGCTGTCTGGAAAAGCCCTATCAGCTGATGTTTGTCACTAGAGCATTATTCTTAGAGTTATTCTTATTTTAATCAACGGGCAATAAAATACAGGTATTTTCACAACGGTAGAAAAGTTGGTGGTGTAAGCATGGCAAAGTACTGCTACAACAAGGTCCCTGTCCTGGAGCCTGAGCCACGGACAGAATCCAGAAAGGTGGAGCGAGAAATGCTCTGTGGTGAGTTTGGATTAACAAACGCACATAGAGGCAATTTAGGATGAGCTGAACACCTGCAGTAAATCGTGCTGCACCCCCAGCCAGGACCTTGGTCAACTGAAGAATCAGCTCCCCTGGGGCTCTCTGTAACCCCCCCTGGGGCTCTGTGTAACCCCCCTGGGGCTCTGTGTAACCCCCTGGGGCTCTCTATAACCCCCTGAGGCTCTCTGTAGCCCCCTGGGGCTCTCTGTAGCCCCCCTGGGGCTCTCTATAACCCCCCTGGGGCTCTCTGTAACCCCCTGGGGCTCTCTGTAACCCCCCTGGGGCTCTCTGTAACCCCCCTGGGGCTCTCTATAACCCCCCTGGGGCTCTCTATAACCCCCTGGGGCTCTCTGTAACCCCCCTGGGGCTCTCTGTAACCCCCCCTGGGGCTCTGTGTAACCCCCCTGGGGCTCTGTGTAACCCCCTGGGGCTCTCTATAACCCCCCTGGGGCTCTCTGTAACCCCCCCTGGGGCTCTCTGTAACCCCCTGGGGCTCTCTGTAACCCCCCTNCCCCCTGGGGCTCTCTGTAACCCCCTGGGGCTCTCTGTAGCCCCCTGGGGCTCTCTGTAACCCCCCGGGGCTCTCTATAACCCCCTGGGGCTCTCTATAACCCCCCCTGGGGCTCTCTGTAACCCCCCTGGGGCTCTCTGTAAACCCCCTTGGGGCTCTCTATAACCCCCCTGGGGCTCTCTATAACCCCCTGGGGCTCTCTATAACCCCCCTGGGGCTCTCTATAACCCCCTGGGGCTCTCTGTAACCCCCCCTGGGGCTCTCTGTAGCCCCCTGGGGCTCTCTATAACCCCCCCTGGGGCTCTCTGTAACCCCCCTGGGGCTCTCTATAACCCCCTGGGGCTCTGTGTAACCCCCCTGGGGCTCTCTATAACCCCCTGGGGCTCTCTATAACCCCCCCTGGGGCTCTCTATAACCCCCTGGGGCTCTCTGTAACCCCCTGGGGCTCTCTATAACCCCCTGGGGCTCTCTGTAACCCCCTGGGGCTCTCTATAACCCCCCCTGGGGCTCTCTATAACCCCCTGGGGCTCTCTATAACCCCCTGAGGCTCTCTGTAACCCCTTGGGGCTCTCTCTAACCCCCCTGGGGCTCTCTATAACCCCCCTGGGGCTCTCTGTAACCCCCCGGGGCTCTCTATAACCCCCTGGGGCTCTCTATAACCCCCTGGGGCTCTCTATAACCCCCTGGGGCTCTCTATAACCCCCCTGGGGCTCTCTGTAGCCCCCTGGGGCTCTTTGTAACCCCCCTGGGGCTCTGTGTAACCCCTTGGGGCTCTCTGTAACCCCCTGGGGCTCTCTATAACCCCCTGAGGCTCTCTGTAACCCCCTGGGGCTCTCTATAACCCCCCCTGGGGCTCTCTGTAACCCCCCGGGGCTCTCTGTAACCCCCTGGGGCTCTCTGTAACCCCCTGGGGCTCTCTATAACCCCCCCTGGGGCTCTCTATAACCCCCTGGGGCTCTGTGTAACCCCCTGGGGCTCTCTGTAACCCCCCCTGGGGCTCTCTGTAACCCCCTGGGGCTCTCTATAACCCCCTGAGGCTCTCTATAACCCCCCCTGGGGCTCTCTATAACCCCCCTGGGGCTCTCTCTAACCCCCCTGGGGCTCTCTGTAACCCCCTGGGGCTCTCTGTAACCCCCCCTGGGGCTCTCTATAACCCCCTGGGGCTCTCTATAACCCCCCCTGGGGCTCTCTGTAGCCCCCTGGGGCTCTCTATAACCCCCCCTGGGGCTCTCTGTAGCCCCCTGGGGCTCTCTATAACCCCCCCTGGGGCTCTCTATAACCCCCTGGGGCTCTCTATAACCCCCTGGGGCTCTCTATAACCCCCCCTGGGGCTCTCTATAACCCCCTGGGGCTCTCTATAACCCCCCCTGAGGCTCTCTATAACCCCCTGGGGCTCTCTGTAACCCCCTGGGGCTCTCTATAACCNCCCCCCTGGGGCTCTCTATAACCCCCTGGGGCTCTCTATAACCCCCCCTGGGGCTCTCTCTAACCCCCCTGGGGCTCTCTATAACCCCCTGGGGCTCTCTGTAACCCCCTGGGGCTCTCTATAACCCCCTGAGGCTCTCTATAACCCCCTGGGGCTCTCTATAACCCCCCTGGGGCTCTCTATAACTCCCCCTGGGGCTCTCTATAACCCCTTGGGGCTCTCTATAACCCCCTGGGGCTCTCTGTAACCCCCCCTGGGGCTCTCTGTAACCCCCTGGGGCTCTCTCTAACCCCCCTGGGGCTCTCTGTAACCCCCTGGGGCTCTCTCTAACCCCCCTGGGGCTCTGTGGGCGGCTCCCAGCGATGCTGAGCTGCTCCCACAGCTGAGGACATCCCTGAGAGCTCAGCCCTGCGGCCGCGTGGACCGAGCCCCGCGCGGACCTACCCCCGCACACGCAGCACAGGTGCAGCAGCGAGAGCCCGTTCTCCGTGCGGTAATTCAGGTTGACTTTGCAGAAGGCTTCATCAGAGCTGAAAAAGGGATTTTACAGATGATTACCTCTTCCGTCTTTCAGCACAGCTTCTTGCATGCGGGAAACATTTAAAAGAGAAATCACAATGTAATTTTTTTTGAGACACAAGGCTGAATTTATAGCCAGCTTACAGTCTGTAAATCTAGAAATACTTTACTACTATCAAGTTGAGTGGTCCGGATTTATTGTTTTCTGAGAAATCTGGCTATGCGATCACAAAAATACATTGTAAATTTATCTAAATTAGGCAAAATAAAAGGAAAGACTTTAAAAATAGAAACAATCCATATAAACTCAGCGTCTGCATTAATACAATAATAACTAAGATGTATTTTTAAAATATGTGTATTGATTTTTAAATAGTGAGTAGGACATGCATAGGGCAGGGGCCATCTTGCTAAATGAAAAGAATAATCAGAAAAAGCCTATTACAAAGTGAGTTTGTACCCCCCAGATGAAATCACAGGGACAGTGATCACTGTGGTTGTTTACAGGTTGTTAAATAAGACAGTACTTGGACATTTTAGCTTTTGTCATCGAGCCTTGTGGGTTTCCTTCAGCACAGACTGATTTGTTAGTGATCCATCAAACACTGTAAATAATTACATTTGTTAAAAACTAAATACACCTACAGTTCATATTGCTTTCGAGAATCTCAATTTCAGCCTGCCCATAGAAGTTTCCATTCAGTATCAGCCCATCCATGACCCTGAGTGTGCAGAACACTTGGATTTGTGTAACTATAAACCCACCCTGAGGGAGGAGCAACCATTACACATATTTAACAAGGTTACTATAAAAAAAAAAAAAAGTTTCAATATTTTTCTCAACTCATTTCCAGTCTGTGAGCCGGGAGTTTTCTGCACTGGAGCTTTGCAGGTAATGAACACGTCTGCATTACTCAGCTGGGCGAGCCTGTGCATGAGCATGTGCTATCCTGAGAAAACCAATTCCTAAATTTGAATCCATTACTTTTGTGTTTGTTTACAGTGGTACACTTCAGCAATATTCGTGGCTACAGAAACACATCAGCAAAGCTGAAAAGTGTACAGAAAAATCAGACATTGTACTAGAGCTAATTATTTTACAGAAGTATAGAGGTGTTTGTTGTAAAATACTGGCATTAATAATCAGCAGCCACTAATTTTGGTATTCTGCCGTGGGGCTCTGCCCAGCACTGTGATGACATATTCCCAAAAATAGACGTAAAGAACATGCATTCCACACAGAAGAAACTCTGTCCATATAAAGCACCTGGAACTGAAAATACTGTTTGATAACAGATAGTCATTTGAAAGAAATCAAATTCACAGAACATTTTACCTGAAAACATGCTTTAACTCTGCCAGCTCTTTTTCCTTGATTTGCAGGTCGTCCTCCAACCGCTCCGTGACAGTGGCATAGGATTCACTGACTTTCTTCTTCCATTCATCTACAACAAAAACTCCAAGTTGATAAAACTCTTCAAAGCACAAAAACAATGTCCCAGTATCCAGAACACTTGATTTTTAAACATCCAATTGTACAATTTCATATATATTTCTATTAAAGTATAAAATATTATAGCTATTAAACTGTTCCTGATGCAGCCAATACAGAAACATATACAAGGATTTCAGAGACAGAGTGCACATGTATGAATCCTTACCTAGAAATATTTTAGTATTAAATAATATTCAAGAGAAAACTGAAACGTTCAGGTTACATTTGTTAGCTTTTTTTTTCCTCAACAGACACACAGCAGAAACAGGTTAGAGATTTAAAGGTTTTTCTCATGAAATATGAGTTAAATCAACATAGTATACAAGTTATTATGATTTTATATAATTGCCCAAATAAATGTTGGCTTTTTTGTCTTTCACAGCCTGTATCTGGGTTAAGTCAAGAACAATACCTGAGCCTTGAACTCAAGAGTAAACCAGGAATGAGTTATCTCCTGAAATACCATTTGCTCCTTGCTGATGGATGGATGGCACATTGCCTGTAAAAAAGTGACATTAGTTACCCGTGCAAGTCTGGGTTGGTCTAGATTTATAATTTCCCATTTGTCCAATTTATCTTCTTTGTTTCAGCAAAGTTCTTGCAGTAATATGATTCCCTGTTCAGGAGCAGTGACAGTCCTGCTGAAAAATACTTGTGATAGTCTCTGGCTAAAAATAAACATTGTGCCAAGAGGAATGTCATGCAACAATAGCATGGAGCGAAACAGCCTGTGCTGTCCACTGGGCTAAAGTCATGGAAACACCCACTCAGCTTGCTTAAAAATCTCCAGTTCTTCCCACAAAATACTTGCCTTCATTTGTTGAACACCTACAGCTAGTGGGAAGTGGCAATTTGGCAGCTTGCTAATGATTTTGTAGAGAAAAGGGAATTTAAGAACCTGAATCCCAGGTGTTCTGTGAGGATCCCCAGGGAGTGCAGGGGGTCCCCAGCTCAGAGAGGCCAGGGATGATTGTAACTCACAACGCCCTGGCACAGGGGTGGCACTGGGAGCATTTGGGTATGACACTTAGGAAGGGCAAAATATAATTCATAGTGAAATGCAAATATACACACATAAATATTTATGCTTATGTATTTATATATTTATGTCTTTAAAGTGTGGTGATTGACCTTGGCAGCTGTTCTGTGAGTTCTCATCTCACTGAAGGATTTCAGGCAAGCAGACATGTTAGAGAACACACATCTCCAAAACCTCCCACACGCTGCAGCCCACTGTAACAACCTTGCTGCCTTGACAGCTCCTGGCACTACCAGCCTGCCCCTTTACTTGCACAAACTTGTATATGAATCACAGGATCTATTTCAGAAGAGTTTGACCTGCTGTCTCAATGTATCCTGTGATATTTGACCAGTGATTTGCAGAAAGGCACCAGCCTGGCAGCTGATTCCCAAATCCAGTTGCCAAACAACTGGGAGAGCTGGGGTTTTAAATGTTCTTCACAGGGAGGGTTTACAGCAGTAAGTCTTTTGAAATTATCTTTATTTCAAATTAATCAGAACATATCCACAATTAACATATGTCCACATCTATAATTTACTTGAAGAAGCTCTAAGTTGCTCCCATAAACTTCATTGCCATTCTGGTGACATTCAGATATGTCCCAGGAAATTAAAAGGGTGGTGAAAGAAAATGCGTGTTGTCAAAAAGAAAGTAGAGGAACTCTGGCCCTTGTAAGGGAGAAGGTGTTTGCAGTGGCTCCCCCATGTCAGCAGATGAACAGAACACAGCAGCACTGTGCTGTTATTTTTTTGCTCTCACAACATTAGAGAGGCCTTTCCATGGGGGCTCAAGTGCAAAGGACAAAAAACAAAGCTCTTACATCAGAGGTTTGGGAATGAGAAAAGGCTGGAACTTCTGAGCTAGAGCAAAAACACCCTGACAAGGCACAAACATTGCTTTACAGATCCAACTGATCCTTGGAGCTTACTTCCTCTCATCAGCTCCCCAAATCCACCTGGCACAGATTCCTCTCAGCTGCTCATTTTTATTTCAGCTGCCTTCCCTTGTGCTCTTTGTTAAGTGCCCAGTTTCTCAGATTTCAGTTTCCTGCACCAAAGGTCACTGAAAACACAGACAGCAGCGCTGAACTCTGCTGATCACGGCGCATGCTCAAGGCATTCAGGGAAATCATTGCAATCATGTTCATTATGAGCCCTATTATTGCACTACACAGCAAAACTAATTCAATAAAGAAAGCTGACATCAAAAAAATCATTAAAAGCTCATCTTGAGTTTGTTTGAGATTGTACCAGCCCGAATTGCATTTCAGGATAGATGGAGCCAGGCAATGATCCAGAGGATATATGAACATTGTACCCATCTGGAAAATGCTGTGAGGATCAGCCAAAATCAAACTCTAGGTTTCAGCAGTGACTCCCATCCACGGAGTCCTGCGTGCCTGGCACTCTCATGACTGCATCCTTCATCACACATACTGCAGGAAAATCATGGACCAGGATGCTGTGATGGTCTTGTTTGAAGAGCCTGGTACTGGAAACCAGAAACCCCATTACTTTCCTTGCTGTGAAGTTTTACTAAGTGGCCTTGCATACGTTTCTCAGTTTCCTTGGGACACACTTATCCCAGCTGGCTGCATGAGAAAATTGTTGTCATCTACGTTAACAGCAGACTGTGGAATACAAAGATTACCTGGAGCTATAAATGCAATACAGACAAAATACATACACAGATTGAATACCTCAGCCTTGCATTATTGTTGTGAGGAAGGGTCCGGTCTGCAGGCTTTTTGATTTTACTAAGATGTACTCACACTGTAGCATGACCCTTGCTGTAAGGACTGCAATTTGTTATCGCTAAAAATGTACACACTTCATAAATAGCTGCAATACAGAGAATTGTAGGCTCAAAGAAGCATTTGGAATGAAAAAGTCCAAAGCCCTCCCAGACCATCAAGTCCAACCATTCCTCTGGCACTGCCAAGGCCACCACTAACCTGTCTCCAACTGTCACATCCACGTGGCTTTTAAATACCTCCATATTGGAAAATAATTAATATAACTCTCTATAAATAAAAAATATATTGCAATGTTCTTCATAACATTTTACATTAAACGTGATTGCAGTGTAAAAATGAAGAATGCTACACCACCAGATATTCCCATACTTGTAGAGTAAATCCATTAAACCTGCTGGTGTTATCCAGGGCTAATACTGACTGAAATCTGCCTTCTCAATTTGAAACAAAAATGCTCACAGTAAGAGGAAAGCGGTGTGTGACACATAGAATTAAAGCAGTACAATGTTTCTTACCTGGTAAATCCATGCTTATTCCATTACAACCGATTTTTTTTATTCATTAAAACCTTTGCCTCAAGATCCCACCTGCTACCACCAGGATGACACTCCCTTTTTTTTTTGTCTTGGAATTCACACTGCTCCCTAAAACACAGGAGCTGCTGTTGGCCCGACCTACCCCAATTTTTTCCAATTTGTTCCCTCACCGTTTTTCCTCACTCTCCCAATACTTATGTGCCAGAAACAAATCCACTTCCTATTTTTATCCAGTTTACTTTCAGTAATGAAATCAATACCTGGTACTCAGGGAATTCAGAACAAATACAATTGTAACAGTTAAAGTGCATAACCATGTTAAAAGGATGCATTTCACTGTTACCAAACACTTGGAGAACTCACCTGGCAGTGTGGCAACCCTCAGGGAAATCTGTACCAAACAAAGTTTGGCCTCCAGTTCAAGAGGCAAGGTCTGTGTCAAACGTTTCTTCTAAAATCTTTTGTGTAACAACAGGTGAATAAATCATGTAAATAGGATGATATACAAATGACAACTCTGTGCTCTATGACTACTTTCACTTTGTGACTTAAAGCGTTTACCTTGGACTTGAGTGTTCCCAAACCTACTGCTTCCATTGTTTAACTAATATTTCATACTAATTTATAGACCCTCTATTTGCTCAGAAATTCTTATTCCTTTGAAGTCAACTCCAGCAATTCCCACCCTCCACATTTTAACTTATTTGTATTTATTCTTGGAAGGTTTATTAATGAAGAAGAAACCTAGTGCAGGTTAAAGAAGGGTGGTAATGCTCAGGGGATGCTACTCTGCTGCCTCGTAGGTGGCATAAGAAAGGTGCCATTTGGGATTTCAGTCAGCAGGGAGATAAACACTGTCATCATGAGATATTAAATAAAACATGAAAACCCACAGAGACATTCAAGAGAAAAAGATGCATCACATTTACAGCCAAATCACACTGATACACTGCACAGCATACTCCTAAAAATAGCAGATTTATCTGTTTGGAGCTGGATCTTGGGCATTTAAACTCGAAACAGGAGGACTTTGATGTTAACGTTATTTGCAGAAGTGGGAGGAGGGGAAGAGAGTTTCTCTGAAGATATGCACTGTGTTGCCACTCACAACAAACCTCCCTGGCTTTTGCTCCACTGCACCATGGATGGCAAAGACTGCAACAGTTCAGTTCGGAGAAATACAAGGTGCTGCTTTTTGCATGGCACACATCAGTCAATCCCTGGGTAACACGAGCTGGCAGCTTCTCCATCACACTACCAGCTTCCAGCAACTACTGGTAAAAAAAGTAAGTCATTATGTCCTGATTAACTGGTGTTGACCTCAGTACTACGAGTCACAAGGGGAAGAATAATCACTCATGCCAATGGTTTTTCTTCTGACAAAAAACAGGAAAGGATAAAAAGTTACAAAACAAAAGAGAAAAATTTATTAATGCCCAAGATAAGATGTCTTGAATTAAAAGCACTTTTAATCATTTTACCTCTACCTAACTACTGTTTGAAACTGTATTGCAAAATAGCAGCATAAAAAGAGAGAAACATAAATTGTTATATTATTCTACATTGATGGAGCTAATATTCTACCCTTTAAAAGCTTTTAAAGCCATTTCAGCCAAATAGACAATTTTTTCTGTGTCATATTCTGAAAACTACAAGACGTAACGTGCAACCCACAAAAAATTACCGAATAGTGTTTTTAGATCTGAAATATTTCCCTACTTTAATCAAAGGACAACTTTATCTGCATTTGCTGCTTTATTAACGTTATTCAATTTCTTAATTTCTACTTCAATGAGATCAGAGAAGAGATCTGTGTATTTTCCCCTTAGGATTCTTACGAGCTGGGAAGTAATTAATTGTCCACAAATGAAAACAGGTTTATTCAAGTACTGCTCATTCTATAATCAGGCTTCTCTTTTTGTCTTTGTAGGCAGATTTCGTCATAAATTTGCTTCCTAAACTTCAGCATGTCTTCCACATCTTTGTAGGTGAGCATTTCTTCAACAGACAAGAGCTGAAAGCCACTCAGTTTGAAAGCTGACTTGTGCTGCACAGAATTCAGCATGTTCAGTGACATCCTAACTGATTCACTCAGAGTAGAACAAACAGGGAAAATCCTTGCAGTCCACAGCCCCAGACGTGTGTCCTCACTGGAGAAGAGCTGGTCCGAAGCCTCTAAGCTCCAGAGGTCAAGGCATTCTGGTAAGCTGGCTCCAAAAAACTGGAGGGAGTGTATATCTGACAGCAGTTTCACGCTCTTTTTCAAGTCGTCGCCTACCCCGAACACCATGGTGACGTACTCCACTCGATCAGTAATTTTCACACTTACTGAACTCAGCAAGCAGTCCGAGGGTATCTCTACACTGAAATTTATGTAGGACCCACTGACAATGCTGCCTTTCCCTACCGAGACCTCAGGCCCAATTCTGGAGTACTCAATGACAGAGCCAGGCCCTATCACACACCCGGGCTCAAGGATGCTCTGGATGACACTCAAGTGATCCAAGGCCTTGGCTGTGTCAGGGAAGATGCTAAAAGCTACAGGCTGCAAGTCCAGCTCAAATCTCAGTTTGCTCTCAGCAGTAAAATGAAACAAATACTCCTGAGTAGTCCCGATGTGGTAGAACTGGGAGTTGTTGAGGACTATGACATTTAGGGCGGTGCCTTGCAGGAGGGAGTACAGCTGCTGCCGCACTGCCACCAACCCCGAGTCCTCCTTGGAGACATTGCTCGTGTTTTTGGTGTACTCTGGAGTGGCTCCAGGCCCCAGGGCCTGGAGAAAGTCACCGTATGCATCTATTTCACAGCAAAGAGTGCCCATCTGCTTGTAGAACTGCAGCAGCTGCTGGGCAGTGCTGTGGTCGATGTAGAATACGCTGTCCGTGTACACACACTCCGAGGCCACGGCCGAGTCCCTGCGGCTCCCAGGGGAGCTGAGCTGAGGGCGATCCCCCCTCACACACACTGCACCACTCTGCTGCATGGTCTCCAGGTCAGGCTTGTGCAGGAAACGATAGCATGATCCATATTCCAGTGCTCCCTTTCCCGAAAAACTGGACGGATCTAGCACAAACACGCCATGCGTGGTCCCGACTGCCAAATCGGAGGGGTGAGCCAAGGCAGTAAAGCCAGGTTTATCAAAGGTGATGGTTTCTGTGACCCCAGTGCTGTACAGCTCTATGTCATCCGAACACGTGATGAGGACTCCTGGCTTCATGTGACGGGGGAAGTCAATGTACATGGCCAGTTTCAGCTCCAGCATCTGGTACACAGGATCACCCAACGGCAGGGCTGTGAAGATCTTACCCAGGGCACTTGCATTTGGCAAACGCTGGCTGTAACCACCTGGAAAAAGACTCATAGTTACACAGAGACACTGTACACAAGTGAGCAAAAAACTAAACCTAGGCATCTATTTCACAGGTACACAAAAGCATTCAAAACCTCTCAGCTTGGTTGTACATCAAGTCTCAAAGCAGATCTGACCTTATATAAAACCCAGCCTGGCTTATATAGCTCATATTAAAACTGTGGTTGATTTTGTAACCTTTTTGTATCACAGCTATCTGTCGCTGGAGTGACAAAAGCAAATGTTACCTGCTTTTTGCTTGGAGGAGAACTACCATATTCCTCAAGGGAATTTTAAGCCAGTAGTGAGCCAAAAAGGCAGAGGTTTGGTCACACTTGGTTTCTTTCACCTCTGCAGAACTATGTTCTTCAACATCTGGAAGTGGCCTGACTCAAGTGGATAAGAAGGCAAGTATTCATCCTGCCCAGAGGCATGAGGAGCCCAAGGTCCTCCGAGAGAGGGGACTGTGTTCCTTAAATGGATGTTTCAAGGCAGAAACTTAAATCACACCTGTGAATCACATCTTTCTCACTGACTGAGCAACGTTAGCGCTGAGAAGAAATGCTGAAGTGACAGTAACATCTTGCAAGCACCAACCTCATTTCAAATGATCAGACACATGGGTAGCTTTCCTCAGGGAACTGTATTTTGGAACTCCAGCTCCTCTGCCATTTTATTATTTTAAGGAAGAAAAAATAAAAGGTATAGTTTTAGAGAAAAATATATAAAACTGAATTTACCAGAATGGATTAGCAGCACAGTGAAGGAAGTCCACTGATCACCATACTGCTCTTCCAAGCACCGAAGAGCATGAAGAGTTGATCCACCATTTCCTAAAGAAAAAGCATTTTAGTATCTGTGAGAAGAACTACAGTAGTTCCTGTTCTGACAGGTGAGGTGTGCTGGTGCCCAGCCAGAGATGGGATAGTCTGTCTATGTGTCATGGCATCCTGAGCAGCCAGCTCCAGGGAAACCTCTGTGATTTCCCCTCCCAGTCACCTCCACACAGCCCCACCATTTGAAGCATTTAATCAACTAAATAGGCCATAACTCAGCTACAAACACCAGCTCCTGTAAGAAACAAGTCACATAATAGCCTATTAATGGATTCAAGCCAGTGTTCAGAAGTACTTCTGACATTTACAGTATGGAAATAAGGAAGATATGGGATCTGAGGAAATGGTTTGGGATATTTTATGTGCTCCTACAACTTAAAACTGCCAAATTCCTGAGAATTACCCTCTGCATATTACTCTACACTGCAGATAATACTGAGATTACTTAATTTGTACATCAAAGCAAATAGGAATTAAGAATTACAGGATGGTATTATGAGCAGCGAGACCAGTTTTACATCACCCCCGGGCAGTGCACTAAAACATACCCAGACTGTTTAAATAACCAGGTAAGTATGAATGTGTGAGACAGGAGTTTGTGCTATCCCAGAGCCACAGCACGGTCTGAGGAGTGGCACAGCTCGCTCACCAGCACCACCGCAGCCTCACATAGGCTCCTGCCGCCCTGATGCCCGCTGTGAAAAATGCAGATTTTATGGTTGACTTTTTCGCAAATGTTACAATGACTATTATATGTGTAATGTTAGAAAGTTATGCCGTATTAATTCTCTTAAGTAGTGTGTTAAATACAGTTTTAGGTTACAACATAATGTTAAAATAGAAACTCTGTGATATAGAATTTGTAACAAGCTCAAGCAGGAAGATGAGATAATCAAGAAACTCTTCACACAGAGATGTCAGCGAAGGGGCCCCATAAGAAGTTACTGACTCCTTATCAGAAAAGACAAACACTTTTCCACTTCTCTCTGTCTTTTTGGAACCACCAATATTGAAAAGTTGACAAAAACCAGAAAAGTTCTTAATTTGCAAGGAATTTATGCATCATGTATGAGATATATGAATATGCAACAGGTTATTGCTTGTAAGGTTATTCCTTTGTTCACAAGGCATGCTTTTCATGACTTAGTGTCCGAGAGCATCCGGACGTCCATAATTCTTTGCTTTTTATTGTCTTGTAATTGTCCTAACTCTAATTTTTATTATTCTAATTGTATTTCTATAATCATTTTATTATTGTTAAACTTTTAAAAAAATTAAAACCCAAGTGATTGGCGTTTTTCACACCGCTGTCCCCGCACCGAGCCCCCGCATCCCCACGCACCGATCCTGGGTCCCGGCGGGTCGGCGCACACCAGGTACCGGACGGCCCTGGGCAGCTGCTCCCGCCGCAGCTTCTCCGCCAGCTGCTCCCGGAACGCGCCCGCCTGCGCCGCGTCCGCCGCCGTCAGCACCACCGCGTCCCACAGCTCGCCGGGCCGGGCGGCCGCGCCTGCGGGGAGCGGCCCGGCTCAGCCCCGGGGACACGGCCCGGCCCGGCTCAGCCCGGCTCAGCCCCGGGGACACGGCCCGGCCCGGCTCAGCCCGGCTCAGCCCCGGGGACACGGCCCGGCCCGGCTCAGCCCCGGGGACA